TGGCAGTAGCTCCTGGGGAGTTGGAGGCCCCTCCTCGCTGAGCCCCTGCCTCTCCTTACAGGGGACGCTGGAAGGGCTGGAGGAGGAGCTGCTGGCCTTCTTCTCTGTCACTCCCCACTCGGTCTACACAGCGCTGATGGACAACAGGTATTTCCTCAGCTCGGGGTCCTGAGCTCTGGGGTTCACTGTGTCCCGGGGCTGCCCAGTCTGCTGAGGGGCTCTGGGAGCAGATGACACTCCTTGGTCTCCCCTCAGCCAGGCTCAGGTCTCCATCTGGGGACACCCCACCTGGCCTGGTCCCCATGGAGCCCTGGGGGAGGGATGCCCTCAGGGATTCCCGTGCAGGAGCTCGTGGCACTTTGTGCTCCCCATCTGCTCCGTGGGTCCCTGGGAGGATTGAGGGCAGGGCAGCGTGTGGGACACTGTTCAAAGGCGTGTTAGCTCTAATCCCATCCCAATTTCCCCCAGCTTCGAGCGGCTCCTGCTCCACGCGCTCTGCCAGTACATGGATCTCGTCTCTGCCAGTAAGTCTTGTGTCTGCTTGTTTTTGGTTTTGATTTTGTTTTTGTTTTCCCCTTTCCTCCATCACTATCTCTCCTCTCCAGCTCAGCCTTTTCCTCCCGGCCCCACCTCGGGCTGGGGCTCACAGATAACCCCGTGCTCCACCCCCGCTGCCCGGAGCTCCCTGGGCAGCCCTGGCTGTGGCCACCAGTGCTGGGAGCACCTGAGGGGGTGGCCAGGCCCTGCTCTGCGGGGGGATTTGGGTGGCCCAAAGTGAGAGGCTGCTTGCAGGGCTCTCTCTCCTGTGGCTGCTGCCTCCTCCTAGAGAGCAGCCTGCCCTGGGCCTCCCAAGAGGTTTTGTTGCCAAGGTAGGGGAGGAGACAGACACCAGGCTCCATCCCTGCAGAGCTGCTTGTGGAAAACAGCGTGAGAGCACTGATGATGGGGAGTGAGCCCACGGTGCTGGCAGGGACACGTGGAGGCGGCTGAGGCTGGGGGGGCACAGAGCACAGGGGAGGCCATGAGCGGCAGGGGGAGGAGTGGAGGGAGGTGGCTGGGCTGGCAATGCCGTGTCTGGGGGACAGGGGTGTGCTGACTGCTCCCTCCCACCCCCCAGGTTCGGACATCGAAGGGAAACGTCAGATGAAAGTGAGCAACAAACACCGCGTGTTCCTGCCCCCCGAGCTGCTGCTCTCAGACTACCTGGGGCAGCTGAGCTGATGCCCCGAGGGCCACCCTGCCCCTCCTTCGTCCGCTCTGGCCTCCCCCAGCCCCGGGGACCCTTGGCCCTTCCCTGCTGCAGGAGGAGCAGAGCCGGGGACTCGTGGCTGTGCCCCCGGGGCTGGTGTGGGCAGGGCAGCCCTGCCCGGTACCGCTGTGGGTGCGGAGCAGGTGCCTCTCGCCCGCCCCGCTCCCCGCGCTGCCCTCCTGGAACTGTTTGTGTGTCTATTTATAACCCAGGTGTTTTTAAAAATAATCAGGCGGGGCCAACCCCCTCTGGCGCTGACGCTCGTGGGGTGATTTTGGTCCAGATTTTTCTGCGGTGAAACAGCTCCCGGCGGGTGCTGAGCCATCGCTGAGCCGGCGGAAGAGCCCGGGGGCTGCCGCGTTCCGGCGCCCACAGCCCGGGGAGGTGTCCAGGGGGGCTCCCTGTGCCCTGCCTGCACCACGGGGCTTTTTTAAGTGTAATATAGCCTGTGTTTTTTATCACGTGTGTGTATATTTACGTGTGTGCGTGCGTGTGTGTGCGCTGGGGGTTGCAGCCCCCCTCGGGGCTCTCCCTGCTTGCCCACAGCTGCCATGGGGGCAGGTGGGGCAGTTTTGGGGGGGCTCTCTGTGTCCCCTGTGTCCCGACACGTGCTTGCAAGCTGCTCGAAGGGTGTGCCCTGGGGGTCTTTGCAGGTTGCTCTGACACTGCCTGCCCTTAACTGCGGGGACTCCCGGGGAGCCCCTGGTGCCTGCTCTGCTGGAGTGACTGGGCATGGGTGCGTTCAGGAACAATAAACACGGTGCTCCCCCGCTGCGGCTCAGTGTCTTGCATGGGGCCGGGGGGCCGGGCGGGGTTGGGGGGCGTCTTGGGGGGTTCTCCTTTTGCAGTGCCCGCAAAAGGGGGGTGGGGGCAGGTGCGAAAAATATGGAACGCTTCACGAATTTGCGTGTCATCCTTGCGCAGGGGCCATGCTAATCTTCTCTGTATCGTTCCAATTTTAGTATATGTGCTGCCGAAGCGAGCACGAACCGAGGGATGCCTGCGGCAAAACTTAAAGGTCCAGGATTTAAAAATAATTAGGACAGGGTGACTGGGTGAGTTGCGGAAGGAAAGTTTTCGTAAGTCTGTTCAGATTTTCCCAATGTTTCAACGCCTCGCTGTCCTTCGATTTCTCCAGAATGCCCGAAATACGCGGGTTCTATTCGCTGTCGCTGCCCCGGGGGGTTCTGGGTAGGCGTTCATGCAAATTAGAGCCATGAGTTGGCTGCCCGGCCCCGCCCCGCTCTGAGGGCGCCGCCCCGCTGTGAGGACCCCGGCCGGGGGTGTCCGCGGCGGTGCCTGAGGCGCGGAGCGGGGCAGCCCGCGGGGGCGGGGCGGGGTCCTGGGAGCGGCGGGAGGCGGCGCGCGCCGGTGGCTGCGGCGGGACCGGGATCGGCCGGGCCGGGACCGACCGGGGATCCCCCGGGATCCCGCGGGACCTGTGTCCCCCTGGACCCTCCCCGCCCGCCGGGGCCTCGCCCGGGTCGGTCCCTGCGGGCCGTGCCCGTGTGACGGGCCGTGTGTCGCCCCAGGCAGGACCGAGCCCGTCCCGCGTCCCGGTGCCCGCCGGGGCCCGGCCGGCGGGATGGACCTGGCGTACGTGTGCGAATGGGAGAAGAAACCCAAGAGCAACCACTGCCCCTCCATCCCCCTCGTGTGCGCCTGGTCCTGCCGCAACCTCATCGCCTTCACCACCGACCTCCGCAACGAGGAGGAGAAAGGTACCGTGTTCCCGTGGAGGGCGGGGAGACCTCTGCGAGCTCCCGGAGCACCGGCAGGTCCAGGATCCTCTGGGCCGGGAGGCCGGGGCTCTGCCCTGGCCCTGGCAGGGAACGCTGCTCTGCTTTTCCTTCCATCCCTCAACCTCTGACAATGTCCAATGGGTGGTTGTTCCCTGGTTGTTCCCCTAAACCAGGACCGGCTCCACGTCGGTGTCTGGCCCCTCACTGAGTTCCCAGCACAGTTGTTATCCTGCCCAAAATCATTTATGTAAAGTATTTAATGTCTTTCCCCACATCAGTTGAGGCTCTGTGGGCTCAGAAACAGTGGCTGGTGAGGAGGGACAGGGAGTCACGTCTGTGTTCTTGCAGATCTCACCCACATGGTCCATATCATCGACACCGAGCACCCCTGGGACGTGTATTCCGTGAACTCTGGGCACACTGAGGTCATCACGTGTCTGGAGTGGGATCAGTCGGGTGAGCTGGGATCCCTCCTTGCTGTCCCTGTGTCCCAGAGCGATGGAGGGCAATTCCTGGGCGGGTTGGGCTGTTCCCCCTGTTCTCACACAGCGCTGCTGTCCCAGGCTCCAGGCTGCTCTCGGCGGATGCCGACGGACACATCAAGTGCTGGAGCATGACAGATCACTTGGCCAACAGCTGGGAGAGCACGGTGGGCAGCGTGGTGGAGGGGGACCCGGTGGTGGCCCTGTCCTGGCTGCACAACGGTGTCAAGCTGGCGCTGCACGTGGAGAAGGTTTGTCCCAGCTCCGGGGGGAACCTGGGCTGGAACACTGGCTCATGTCTTGGCAAAGGACTTGGGATCCCACCTGTGTTCTGTCTGCTCTGAGCTCCCTCATGACCTTGGCCAAGTCCGGTAGAGGAGTTTTTTGCCAAAGAGGAAAGTCGGATTCCCGGTTCCTGCTGAATTCCAATGGGGTTTAGAGCCTGGGTTTCTCTTGGCACTTTAAATGCGTTTCTCTTACTGTGGTGCCTTAATTCCGGGCTGGGACATGGAGATAGAGCAGTTCTTTCCTGACCAGTGGTAATTCAGAGGAAATGTGTTTGAGGTGCTGAGGTTTGATCCAGGGGTTTGGGCACAGGACCAACAGGGAGATGAGCTCCCTGTTCGGAAACATATCTGACTGCAGACTCCCAAAGCCCGAGGCTGCCAAGCACAAGTTCTCTGCTTCTGTTACTTTTAATTCCTGTGGTGTCCTGCAGAGATCCTGCCCCTCTCCCACGAGGAGAGCTCCACAGGCACAGAGTGCAAATGCCTCGGTTTTGCTGCCCTTTGTTACAGTCTGGAGCGTCGAACTTCGGCGAGAAGTTTTCCAGGGTGAAGTTCTCCCCGTCGCTGACGCTGTTCGGCGGGAAGCCCATGGAGGGCTGGATCGCCGTGACCATCAGTGGGCTGGTCACCGTGTCCCTCCTCAAGCCCAACGGGCAGGTGCTGACGGCCACCGAGAGCCTGTGCCGCCTGCGCTGCCGCGTGGCCTTGGCCGACGTCGCCTTCACGGGCGGGGGCAACATCGTGGTGGCCACGTCGGACGGCAGCAGCACCTCCCCCGTGCAGTTCTACAAGGTCTGTGTCAGTGTGGTGAACGAGAAGTGCAAGATCGACACCGAGATCCTGCCGTCGCTGTTCATGCGCTGCACCACGGACCCCGCGCGCAAGGACAAGTACCCGGCCATCACTCACCTCAAGTTCCTGGCTCGGGACATGTCGGAGCAGGTGAGCAGCTGCTCTTAAGGCAGGTGGGAGTTCAATGAGGAACAAGGAGGTGGCTGTTTGCTCCACCCTGGCTTCCCCAGGGGCTCTGAAGGTGACCAGCGTGTCCTGCACTGCCCTTGACGTTTTGGTGCAGCTGGAATCAGGGACCTCACCGTTACCTCCCACTGATTCCATCCTCTGCTTTTTGCTGGCGGGGCACGACCTGAGTGGGAGCGGGACCCTGGGAAGAGAGGGTGGGAATGGCAGGGGCAGTGCCCTCCCCGTTGTGACCCCCGTGCGTGGGCTCTGTTCCCCAGGTGCTGCTCTGTGCTTCCAACCAAAACAACAGCATCGTGGAGTGCTGGTCCCTGCGGAAGGAGGGCCTGCCGGTCAACAACATCTTCCAGCAGATCTCACCTGTGGGTGAGTGTCTGCGCCACGTGCTCTTAAGAACAGGAGTGTGGTCTGAGGGGAAAGGCAGGACAGGTTCTCACATCCCTTATCTCGTATATGGGGTTATCCGGAATCCCACATTTATTTTCAGGTGTTCTCAGTCACATGCTTCACTCATCTGTTTGCATCGTAGGCAGCGACTTGCTGTTTCCAGGAAGTGGTTTGGTTGTTAATTTTGCAGCCATCCTTCCTGCTGGGAGCAGAGCCTCCCAAAGGACCAGGGTTGGGCAGCAGAGCTGCAATAACCCCCTGCCCAGGCTGCCTGGGCTCCACCCGATCTCAGATAGAACAGAATCAATCAGGGCAGTGTGTTTGGTGAAACAGAAAGGATTGTTATGCATAAGGATTCTCTAATCACCCCCAGCAGAGCCTTCCATGAGGGGAGATTTGGCAAAACAAGTTGTTTGTATAATTCAGGAAAAAAAATAGGGAAATACAAGGGAAACATATGGGAAGTATATGGGGAATATACTGGTCTGGTGGAATGAAGTGCTTGGTCTGTGATCCTGCTTGGTTGGAGAGTGTGGGCAGAAACGGGGGATTTGATCTCTTAGGGACAGATGTCTCGCTTACTTGCCTATTTTCCCCAGTGGGAGACAAGCAGCCCATGATCCTGAAGTGGAGGATCCTGTCTGCCACCAATGACCTGGACCGGGTGTCGGCCGTGGCACTGCCAAAGCTGCCCATCTCCCTGACCAACACGGATCTGAAGGTGGCAAATGACACCAAATTCTTTCCTGGGTTGGGTAAGGAGTTCCTGTTGTCTTAAATACATGGCTTTTGTCTGAAACTTAAACTTCTGAGCTGTACCTGAAGTAAAAATGGGAGCAGAGCCTGTGGAATGCTCATGCAGAACTTTCAAAGGCATGATGTCTTCCCAGCCATCCCGTTGTGTTTCCATGGGAAGAGGTGTATCTCTGTGAAATGCAGACGTGGGGCCTGGGAGCCCCCAGCCCTTTGACTGCTCCTCGTTGCCACGTGGACTTCGATGGTGGCCAGAGCTTCGGGCGAGGGCTGTGCCGTGCTGGGAGAGCCGCTGGCTCAGCCTCGGTTGTCTCCTGTCCCCAGGCCTGGCCTTGGCTTTCCACGATGGCAGCGTGCACATCGTGCACCGGCTGTCCCTGCAGATGATGGCCGTGTTCTACGGCTCCTCCTCGCAGCGCCCCGTGGACGAGCCGTCCCTCAAGCGCCCACGCACTGCGGGGCCCCTCGTGCACTTCAAGGCCATGCAGCTCTCCTGGACCTCGCTGGCCCTGGCCGGCGTGGACAGTCACGGCAAGGTTGGTGCTCTCTTATGGCTGGGTTAGTTCTCATCCAGGCTCTCCAGGTGATGATGGGTCACTCAGAAAATGCTGGGAATTCCAGCTGTGCGATCCATGTTAGATGGGAAGGGATGTACCCCATGGCTGCAGGAATTGTTGCTGTGTCAGGAGTGGCCCTGTAGCTTTGTTGGATGTTTTCAAGGTCATTCCTGATGCCAGTGTTCCTTTTCCTCCTCCCTTTAGCTGAGCATGCTCCGCATCTCCCCCTCCATGGGCCACGTGCTGGACATGAACATGTCCCTGCGGCACTTGCTGTTCCTGTTGGAGTACTGCATGGTGACCGGCTACGACTGGTGGGACATCCTGCTCCATGTCCAGCCCAGCATGGTCCAGAACCTGGTGGAGAAGCTGCACGAGGAGTACATGCGCCAGAACGCGGCCCTGCAGCAGGTCGGTGGGCAGGAGCTCTGGGCTCACCTCGAGGGTGGGCACGGGGGGGCTCAGGGACTGGGAGTGGGGAGCAGCCAGTGCCACTCCTGGGGAGACAGGCGGCCCTGCTCTGCTGTGCTCTCTGAGTGCCTGGCTCAGGCAGTGCTGGAGCTGGGACGGGCTTCCACGTTAGCAGTGTTTTCTGTCACTGGCATCAGCGGGTCTCTACCTGGAGAGACTTCGGGGGAGATGGTGAAGTCTATTTTTGGCAGACTCTGGGAACAGCAGCATTCACGTGCACAATGTTCATTATTCCTGTCACTCCTGTGGCAGAAACTGAGAGCAGAAAATAAAGCAGCAGCAGCAGCTTTAATGAGCTTATGCTAATTCTGCCTTTCCCTGTGCATTTTGCTGCATCTCCCCGTCGCCCAGGTCCTCTCCACACGCATCGTCGCCATGAAGGCGTCGCTGTGCAAACTCTCCTCCAGCACCATCGCCCGTGTGTGTGACTACCACGCCAAGCTCTTCCTCATCGCCATCAGCTGCACCCTGAAATCGCTGCTGCGCCCCCACTTCCTCAACACCCCGGACAAGAGCCCCGGGGACCGGCTCACCGAGATCTGCTCCAAGATCACCGATGTAGGTACTGACAGCTCACGGCATCCCACACTGCCTTCCCAGCGTTTGGGGTTGGATTGTTCCCCATCGTTCAATACAAAGTGCCACAGTGTCTTAGCAACTCCTAGGTTTGAGGAGGAAGAGGAGGGTGACCTCCCTGGGGAGGATTTGAGGTTTGGATCCATCTTCCTGAGCCAGGTGATGTCTCGCTTCTGTTCTAGACATTGACAAGGTGATGATTAACCTGAAGACAGAAGAGTTTGTCCTAGAGATGACAACATTGCAGTCCCTGCAGCAGCTCATCCAGTGGGTGGGGGATTTTGTGCTCTATCTCCTGGCCAGCCTTCCCAACCAGGTGAGACCTGGCGTCCCAGGAACAGACCGAGGGGGTGCAAACACCCGTGGGCAGTGTTGGGGAGTTTTAACCAGGACCACATGTCCCTGTGGGGTGTGGGAGGTGCTGGGAAGGAGTGTGAGGATCAGCAGAATTAGGGAAGGGCCCCTCCCGTGCCCACTGGGGGCCGGTGACGCAGTGACCGGCAGCACGGTACCCACAGGACTCAGGGAACTGATGCAGCTCTGCAGACCTCCCGCATCCCTGGCGGCGGGTGCTGTGGGGTGAGTGCTGCTGGAAACAGGAGCTGTGTGGGTGCAGAGCGCTGGCTGGGGCGGGTGTGACCCCCCCACGCCGCCGTCCCTCGGCAGGGCTCCCCGGTGCGCCCCGGGCACAGCTTCCTGCGCGACGGCGCGTCCCTCGGCATGTTCCGGGAGCTGATGGTGGTGATCCGCATCTGGGGGCTGCTGAAGCCCAGCTGCCTCCCCGTGTACACGGCGACCTCCGACACCCAGGACAGCATGTCCCTGCTCTTCCGGCTCCTGACCAAGCTCTGGCTGTGCTGTGAGTGTGACCAGTTCCCTGAACAGTAATTCCTGCCTCGGTGGGGCTGGTGCGTGCAAGGACTGACTGTGGGACGTGACTCCAAGGGGGTCTGGTGCCTTCGGAAAGGGCAAGTGCAGCTGCCAGGGTTATTGTTTTCCGGGCTGTCTTGGCAGTGGAGGAGGAGGGTGCACGCAGCTCTCTGGAGCTCTGAAGCAGGATTGTAAAAGTGTCGTTGGTTCTTTGCTTCATTTTCCATACAGGTCGTGAGGAAAATCACATCACGGAGCCTGACGATGCCCTGATCGACGAGTGCTGCCTCCTGCCCAGCCAGCTGCTCATTCCCAACATCGACTGGCTGCCCATCAACGACGGCATCATCAGCAAGCTGCAGAACAAGCAGCTGGTCCGGCTGCAGTTCGGGAAGGCTCCTGGGCTCGTTGGCCACACTGTCTCTTCCCAGTTCGATGCCTTTGTCAGGTACAGACATGTGGAACGAGTGGGTGCTGTGGTGAGAAGGGGTGTTGCAGGCGTTGCGGTCTCTTGGCAGCTCTGTGGTTTGGGACACCTGGGGGTTTGACTTGTCCTCTTGCTGGATTGACCCAAGAGCAGTTTATCCTCTCTGCTCGAATCCAAATGCAGCTCCCTGTCCTGGGAGCTGCCTGTGGAAAGTGACACTGGGCAAGTCCTGTTTTCCCTCCCCAGGGCCCCCGGACAGCCCAAAATTGACCACCTGAGGCGGCTGCACCTGGGCGCGTACCCGACGGAGGAGTGCAAGTCCTGCACCAGGTGAGTGACACAGGTGTCACTGCTCTGTGCACCTGGGCTTGGGCAGCACTCACAGTCCTGGGTGCCCTTCAGGAGCTCTCTGAGGCTGGTTATGGCTGTGGCTAAGATGTCCCCAACCTGGGAAACTCGGGGCATTATCAGAGAGTGGCCTCTCTGTGGCCTGGCCCTTGGGTTAAAAATCAAACAGATGAGATTTAAGTTCATAAATTAACAATCTGGTCAGTGGAGCCAAAATCGGGCCTGGAGGAGTCTCTATAGTGACTCCTTTATATGATTCCCAGTTCTGCAGGGCTGGTCCTTAAAGCACCTGTGTGCTTGGAGTGGGGCTGGGGGGAGGAACCACCCAGCACCCCTGCTCCCAGTTTGGGGTTGTCTTTCCACCCAGGCTCGCATTTCGTGCTGGCCTCCTCATCCACCCTCACGGGAGAGCCTGGATTTCAGGATAATGGCTCAGGGAAAAAACATCCATCTAGTCATGTGATTGAATTAGCTTTAATTACTGGGTTTAATAGAAAGCCTCTGTAGCACATCATTTTTGTGAGATGACTGTTTCATGTGTAAACAGCAGCTGGGGCTGTTCCGCGCCAGGCTCCGGCTCCAGGAGGGCCCTCAGCAGGATTGTTGCTCGCTGGTTTCAGCTGGTTTTGGTGCTCTCAAGAGTCACCTGCAGATGACAGGAGCTGGTTTCCCCCGTGGGTGGCCCCACTCCTGCGTGATCCGTGCAGCAGCCCAGCAGCCCTGGCTCTTGGGGCCCCCCTGGGCTGGCTGCACCCCCCGTGTCCCCCCAGGTGCGGCTGCGTCACGATGCTGAAGTCGCCCAACAAGGTGACAGCGGTGAAGCAGTGGGAGCAGCGCTGGATCAAGAACTGCCTGTGCGGGGGGCTGTGGAGGAAGATGCCCCTCAGCTACTCCTGAGCCCTTCCTGGGGCACAGTGGGGGCCAAGAGCTGTGTGGGGCTCCCTCCATGGAGGGGTCGTGACAAGGGCACAGCAGCTCCTCTCCTGGAACAAACTGCTGCCACTCTGCCTTGCTGAGCTGTGCTGGAAAACGGAGTGGAGGGAGCTCTTCTTTTCCAGGGAAGAGCTGGAAGGCAATGCCAGGGGTTTCCCCATCATTTGGGGCCTGGGAGGGGAGAGCCTGGCTGTGTGTCAGGGCTGTGCTGGCGGAGCACTCTGGGCAGAGAGAGATGACAGGGTGGCTGGGGGGAAACAAGGTCCCAAGTGTGGCGAACAAACACCTGGTTCTTCATATCCATCCTGTGCTTCTGGCTGCTTGAGAAGTGCCACGTGGGCTGGGCACTCCTGGGCCTTGAGCAGATCTGCCCCTCTGGCAGGAGCTGTCGCCTGCATGCCCATCGGTGTTGGATCAGAGCAGGAACACGAGTGCTGCTGCCTGGAATGAACCCCCCTTTGGCTCTTGCTGCTGTAAATAAAAACTCCCATAATTTTGTACAGAACATGTGGTTTGTTTCTGTGGTGTGACGTGGCCACCCAGTGCAGGGCCAGGGCAAGGGAGCCATGGGAAAGCCCCCAGTGCATCTGTCAGGAAAAGAGCTGCCAGGGGCAGGGGAAATGGATGTTTTCAAGGTCAATGCCACATCCTTAGGGACACGTGAGTAGAAAACATGAAATCCTTGGGGTTGGGTAAGTCTCCAGCTTCGGGCAACGCCAGACACTTGAGCGGGTCGGAGGAGGAGCGTTCGTGATGCAGCCGAAAATCCTGTTGGACTTTTGCCCTCCCGTGGCCCCCCTGGCTGCTGCTGCACTGGACGGGAAATCACAACCTCCTGGGCCAGGGAGGCTGTGCCTGCGGAGCCCCGGCCCTTTGGGGGTCAGGTGGGTGACTTGGGCCTGCTCTGTTCCCCAGGGTCCTTCAGCTCTTAGGGAGGAGAGCCTGGAGCCTCCAGCTGTCCTGCGTCCCAACCAGCCAATTTCATGTCCTCACACACCCTTCAGGGGAAGCAGTGAGCCAGTTTTTGTACATTCCTTCTGGAACTGCATTTTCATTATTATTATTGAGAACTGGAGCTGGTGACAGAGAGCTCATTCCCCAAACTCCAGTGAATGTTTCACTGCACAGAGCTGGACGAGCTGTACAGAGCTTTCCCCCTCGCTGTTCTGCTGGTTATTAAGGACAATCAAATGTCTAATTAGGAAACTGCACCTTGTTAAGGCTCTTTTCCCCTGTAAGTAAAACTCAACCAAGGCCCTTTGTTAGTCTCTTTTTCTCAGAGAACAGGTTTGGGGTTATTTAATATTTGCTTGGGACCAGGGAGCAGCAGCACAGCGCTGGGATGGAGCAGGGGGATGGAGCAGGGGAACAGACATTCATGTCCCACCCACCATGGAGCTCCCAGGATGGGACTGGAAGGGTCTGGCAGTGCCCTGGGCCATGCTGCTGCCCCGCTCCCATCCCTTGTGCCTTGGCCCCGCTCCCTCCAAGGACTGGGGAGTTTGGAGAATGAAGGTCTGGGGGGGGGACATGAGACAAGGACCAGGGTTATGGTGGGAAGATGGGGCTGTGCCTCGCCCTGCTTCTCGGCTCCTGGGACAAGAGGGACCCAGTGAGAGTCCTGTTGGGTCCCAGCACAGATCCCTCTGTAGGAGCTGGAGCAACTGCTGCTGTATCAGCAACAGGCAGGTTCTGCTTTCCCAAATGTTCACACAATGACCCCACAGGAGGTCCCGGCTGTGGACCTTATCATGGCCACACCGCAGGATGTGTCCCCTGCTCCCACCCGAGGCCACACAGTCCCCAGGGGCTCAATCTCCACATCTCCCACCCCATGTACAGCTCCCCTCAGTGGGGGGCTCCTGCACAGACTCCCAGCTCTGCAGAAGTCATCATCACTTTATTGCAGCGATCGTGGGCAGCGTTTCGGGCACCTTCAGCAAAGCCTGTGGGGGACTGTGACCCCCCATCCTCCCCCAGCCGGGCCCTGTGCTTTGCAAGTAGGGACCCAGGGACCCCCTTCCCTGGTTCCTTGCCGTCCCCTCCTGCTGTGGGGGGACGCTCCGGGAGCGGGGTGGGCGGTGGGAGCCCCTGGTGTGCAGCGGGGCAGCGGCGTGGGTGCTCTGGCCGTGCTGGCAGCAGCAAGCCGTGGCGTGGAGCAGGTCCCCGGGGTCCCCTCAGCGAGTGTCCCCCTCCCCATCGGCGGAGGCCATGACGCCGTCGATCCAGGCCGCGTACGGGGCCAGGCGGGTGTAGATGGCCGGTTTCTTGTAGTTGCCGCAGACGCGGGAGCCGGCGGTGACCAGTCCCTCGGCCACCCCTCCACAGACCAGGGGGCCACCAGAGTCTCCCTGCAGGACCAAGGCTCGTCAGCACGGCCAAGGGTTTGCTGGGATGCCCCAGCCCATCTCCCATCCCTGATTGCTGTCTCCAGGCTCCTTTGAGCTGCCCTGCAGTGGCCAGCACAGGGTACGGAGCCCCTCACCTCAGGGACGTGACCCCCTCCTGCCCCGCTGCCCCGGCCTCTCCCAGGCTGTGGAAATTCTCCTGCCTTGCCCTCTCCCGGCCCCCCCGGGGTGGTTGGCAGCCCCAGCCCGAGGGTCCAGCCACGGGCCCACGGAGGCAGGCAGTACCTTGCAGGTGTCCCTCCTGCGGGAGTCGGTGCACATCATGTTGTTGGTGATGGTGCCGTCGTGGCGCGTGCGGTGGTTGCAGACGTCGCGGCTGATCACCGGCCGCTCCACCTGCTGCAGCCTGTCGGGCCTCCTCCCGCTGTGGCTGGTGATGCCCCATCCCGCCACCTCGCACACCGTGTCGGGCGCCACGTCCCTGTCCTCCCGCTGGAACGGCAGCACCTGCACGTCCGCGTTCAGCTCCGCTTTCTCCTCCAGCTGCCACCAAGCGAGAGGGGACGCGGGTCAGGGGGGCAGCTGTGCCACGATCCAGCAAGGCAGGGCAAGCCCAGCCCTGACCCCGGGATCACCCCAGGCCTGGCCACGCTCAGGGCTTTGCCTCCTGACCAGAGCCCCAGGGTGCAGCCAGAGACCAGAGCTGGAGCCACGAGGAAGATGGAGGCATTTGGATGCAGCTCAAAGGGATAGTCCCATGGGACAGGGAGGAAGGCACAGGGGAATCAGGCCCAGCATGACCTTGAGGGTTTTCTCTGGCCTCAATCAGTGACCCCGGAGGGTCCCAAGGGACAGCGGGATTTGCAGGAGTGGGGAGGAGGGTCCCAGTGGCCCCAAGCCCACCTGGAGGAGGAGGAGGTCGTCCTTGTTGTTGTGCTTGTTGCTGCCGGGGTGGGGGAACTGGGCACGCACCCGGTACAGGCGTTTGTGGGGCTCCTGCTCCGTGAGCGAGTGTGCACCCAGCAGCACCTGGAAGAGTTTGTCACCCCTGGAAGAGAGTCAGAGTGTGGGACAAACGGAGTGGGGGTGTTGCTGCACCAAGCCATGGAAATGGGGTGCTTGGGGGACCAGAGAGCCCCCCAGGGGTACCAGGAGCCCCTGCAGCCCCTGCTCAGCCCTCACTGCAGATGGGATCAGAGCCCCATGCTCCGACACCAGAGTCAGGGCTGCAGAGTGGGACTTGGCCCTAGTCCAGCAGCCCCCCAGGCACGGAGCTGACCCCCCCACTCACGTCTCCTCGGTGCAGTGGGCAGCGCTCAGCACCCACTGCTCGGCGACGAGGAAGCCCCCACAGACGTGCTGCCCGTCCAGCTGCAGAGAGGCCATGAACGGCTTCAGGTGGGGCCTGGCCTCGTAGCCCCCCAGGATCCGTCCCCGAGGCTGCCCTGCGGGAGAGAGGCCCTGTCAGGTGAGGGGCACAGGGCAGTGTCACTCCCGTGGTACCCTGCTGGGTTCCTGGACCCTGTGGGTTGTGGCAGCACCTGGCTGCAGGTGGAGGCAGGAACTGGGGGGCTGGGCAGGAACCCCCCCGTGCTGGGGACGTTGCTGCCCTGGCCCCATCCCGGGGTTCAGGGGGGTGCACTCACCGTTCACTGTGGCCCCGAGCAGCAGCAGCAGCACAAGAACAAGGACGGGAGCAGGACTCAGCCCCATGGCTGTGGAGGAGCCCGGTGGTGCCTCTGCCCAGCTGGGGGGGTGTGGGAGTTTTGGGGTGCGCGGGGGCTCCGGGGTGGACGCTGCTCACCCGGGGCTGGGGCTGGGGCTCCCTTTTATGTCCAGTTTGGGATGGCGGGGGGGGCAGGAAAGGGGAGGCGAGGGAGAGCGGGGGGGTTTCCGCAGCGTGGGCCGAGTGTTTTGAAATATTCAACTTATAAAAGGGGTCAAGAGTTCTCGGTATAAACAGGGTGGGAGGAGGAAACAGCCCGGCCCAGCTGCCGGCCCTGGCACACGGCACCGGGGATTTCTGTGCCGGGGTTTTCAATGCCTAAAAAGTTCCAGCTCGTGGCACATGAAGGCTCCAGCACATTCCATCCCCCCACTCGGAGCAAGGACCCCCGCCAGGCGTGGGGGGGTCCCTGGCGGGTGCTGGGTGCCAACTCAGTGGGTGCACAGGGATGCAAACCCATCGCCTGGGTCTGCCCTCGGACTGACAAGGACAGCGGGGTCAGGGCCGCGGGGGACACCCCAACCCCGAGGGGGTTCCTGCAGGTGGGGGTTGCGGTGGTGGGAAGGGTGACGGCAGCGACAGGGGCGGTGTCCGGGATGGCGGTGGCAGCCCCGGTCCCCTCTGCCTTTCTCCCCGGTGCCACTAAGCGGAGCCACCGCCTCGGATCCCGCCCGGTCCCGGCGCGTTCCCGAGCTCCGGAGCCGCCCATCGCCCCCGCCCGGGCTCGTCCCCGGAGCCCCTCACCCCACCCCGAGGCTCCTCCGCGGGGCCTGCGCCGGGATCCCCGCCCGCCCGAGGTCACGCTGCCCTCGCCCTTTGCCTGGACAGCCACTGGCCACCGTGGCCACCCACAGCTGGGTCCGGCCGTGCTCCCGCCAGTGCAGCCAGGACCGAGCAGGGCTCCCGGGGACACCGGGCAAGGGGCTGGATCTCACCGCCCCCCTTCTCCTGCTCCCAGAGCCTCTACAGCTCCGAGCTGCCGTGCTCCCTTTGTCTGGTGGCACAGACGCTCCATCCCCCCGACTCTCGACCCCCCGGCCCCCCACGCTGACGGACCCCCCGGCAGCAGCCGGACAGACTCACCAGTGAGGAGGGGGCCGGGCACGGGGGGGCCCCAGGGACTCAGGGGTCCCTCTGCGGGGGCAGCTTCGCGTCCCCCTGTCCCCACGTGCTGGTGGCACATGGCGGGCGGGGGTCGGAGCACGCGGTGGTGTGGTCGTCGCTCAGCCTGGGGATTTTCTGCAGGGAGAGCGGCTTAATTGCGGCTTCCAGGGATTCGGGATTTAGATGTTAAATACGCCTGGAGATTTCTGCCCACTTAGGGCCAAAAATGGAACAAGGGCAGCTTGTGGGGCCACACAGAGCCTGGATGGGACCAGGAGCGGGTGGGCGGGGGGTGTGCAGCGGCCGAGTGTGGGGTACAGGGAACGGGAGATGGGGTGGGGTGCAGGGAATGGGGTGTGGGGAGGGGTACTGGGTAGAGCACGGCCGGGATCCACTGCAGGTGGAGGGGGCAAGGACAGACGGGGCCAGGGTGCCACCCCCTCCCGAGAGGTGCCAGGAGTCCCCGGGGAACAAAGAGAGCTGCACCCACTTCCTCAGGTCCAAGTTAGAGACACAAGGCTCCTGCTGAGGGTGACTCCCGGCACCGTCCCCGGGGCTCCTCGTGACCGCGGGCCCAGGACTCGACCCGAGTCCCTCCCGAAGCCCCTGGGTGTCACGGGCAGGGCAGGTGCCCCCCACCAACAGAGCCAGGTGGGTGTCGGGGGGTGGCAGAGCTCCGGGGGGTTCGGTGTGGCGGTCACACCCCCCCCCCCCGTGCTGCGGGACTCCCGCTTCGGCACCTCCCGGGTCTCCGCAGCCCCAGGGCGAGGGAGGGGGCTCTGCAGGGCAGGAGACTCCTCGGGTCGGGGGTCAGCACCCCTCAGGCAGCACAGGGCGGGAAGGGTCGATCGGGGCCCGGCAGTAGAGGGAGCCCCGGGGGGCGGTGGCCCCGGGACCCCCCGGTTCCCCTCGGTGCCCGGGCAGGGTCCGGGGTGCGGAGCGGCGCCCGGCGAGGTCGGTCCCGCTGCTGCCTCGGCCCCGCCCGGCCCTTTGTTTCGCCTCGACCCCCCCAGACCTCCCGAGATCCCTCCAGACCCCCTTAGATGCCCCTCCCTGGCCCGACGGGGGCTCGATGGGGGCTCGGCGCCCCAGGAGGGGCCGGGGGCGGCGGCGCGGGGCGGGGAGCGGCGGGCGGGGGAGGAGGAGGAGAAGGAGGAGGAGGAGGAGGACGCGGGGGCGGAGGAAGCTGCCGCTCCCCGCGCTCCGCCGAGGCAGGAGCATCCCGGATCCCGGGGACCCCCCAGCTGCCACCGCGCCCCCCGCCCCGCTGCGCCCCGGGGCCGCCTCTGAGGTGAGTGGGGGGCACAGTCCGGCACAAAGGGCCGCTCCTCCCTCCCCCGACACCTCCTTCCATCCCCCGGCCCCGGCCCCGACCCCCGCCCGCGGCTGCGGCACGGTCCCTGCGAAGGGGGGGTTCCCCACTGCGCCCCCCGCCCTCCCGGTCATATTCCCGATTAATCCCCCATTATTGTCCCCCCCCGTTATGACGCCCCCGCCGTTCCCCCCCGTCGCTCCATCCCCCTTATGCTCCCCCTCATTTCGCAGCCCGGGCTCAGTGCGGTCTCAGGGGTTGGGGCCGGGGGGGCCGGGGACCCCCATCCCCGGCCCGGCTCTGCGGGTGGCACACCCCCTCTCCACGCCCTCCGCAGCAGCCTCGCCGCCTGTCCCGGTAGTGGCCGCCTGTCGCGACAGACGAGCCTCCGCCCCACCTGTTGTCACACCCCCTGGCTCGGTCGGGCCCCCCCTCGGAGTCCTGGGGGTCCCCTGGGGGAAGCGGGACACCCCCAGTCCCGGTAGTGTCCCCCCACTGAGCGGCTGCCAAGGGCAGCGGAGCGACCAAGGGTGACCAGGGGTGACCCGGGGTGCCTGTTCCCCCCCACAGGGTGACACTTCAGCCCCACAGGGCAGAGGCACAGCCCGGTGGGCCCCCCGTGCCTGCCCCAGGACCATGATCCCCCCCAAGGAGAAGGCCCGCGCCCCCAAGGACAGCATGACTCTCCTGCCCTGCTTCTACTTCGTGGAGGTGAGTGTGGGGTGGGTGGGCACAGGGTGGGGGGCTCTGGGGGGGCTCCATCCTGGGCCCCAGCATGGCGTGTGGGGGTCTGTGTGGTGCCGTGGCTCCGTCCCCACATTCTCCCCCCCACAGCTGCCCATCGTGGCCTCGTCCATCGTGACGCTCTATTTCCTGGAGCTGACGGACCTCTTCAAACCGGCCAAGGTGGGCTTCCAGTGCCACGACCGGGCGCTGTCCATGCCCTACGTGGAGACCAACGAGGAGCTCATCCCGCTGCTGATGCTGCTCAGCCTGGCCTTCGCCGCGCCCGCCGCCTCGGTGCGTGGGGCTTGTCCGGCTGCAGGGTCGGGACAGAGCCGGGAGGGGGGTCCCGGTGCCTGGCGGTGTCCGACACCCGCGAGGCGGCTCCGCCAACAACCCAGACCCCCCAGTCCCACCTGAGCCACTGGTTCCTCCCCAGATCATGGTCGGGGAGGGCATGGTGTACTGCCTGCAGTCCCGGCTGAAGGGCCGTGCCGGTGCCGAGGGCAGCATCAACGCCGGCGGCTGCAACTTCAACTCCTTCCTGCGCCGCACCGTCAGGTTTGTGGGTACGTTGTGCCACAGCCCAGGCAGGACCTGAGGGCTGGAGGGGATGGGGGGGCACCCTGGCTGCCATAGGAGGAGCGTGGGCCCACCCAGACCCTGGACCCTTCCCAGTGCCTGTGGGTGCCCCAGGGCTGGGTGGGCCCTGGCCCGCCCCATGTGGGATGGGGGTGACCTGCTGTCCCACTCCTGCCATCCCCAGGTGTCCATGTGTTTGGGCTCTGTGCCACGGCCCTGGTGACAGACGTCATCCAGCTGGCCACTGGCTACCACGCGCCCTTCTTCCTGACCGTCTGCAAGCCCAACTACACACTGCTGGGCACCCCCTGCGATGCCAACCCCTACATCACCCAGGACATCTGCTCAGGCACCGACAAGCACGCCATCCTCTCTGCCAGGTATGTTCCAGGGGAGCCCCATGCCACGCTGCCAACCCTCCTGCCCCATGCCAACCATGTCCCCCTGCTTCTGCCCCACCCCAACCGCATCCCCTCTCCCTGCAGGAAGACCTTCCCATCCCAGCACGCGACGCTCTCGGCTTTCGCTGCCGTCTATGTGTCGGTGAGTTCCTGGCGCTGCCTGGCGCACGCTGGCTTGGGGCAGCATGAACCCTGTGCCATGGGCAACAGCGTCCCTCTCCCACTGGCACAGCTAAACTCTGCCCGACACACGTGTGCTGTGCTGGGTGTGGGTGCGTGGACACGCGTGTGCACACTGGTGTGTGTGTGCCGGGACCTGCAGTCCCACGTGCACCCAAGAACTGTCTGTGTGGCCAGGGCTGGGCCGGGGCCGTCACTAACAGCCTGTTCCTGCCCCAGATGTATTTCAATTCCATCATCTCGGACAGCACCAAACTCCTCAAGCCCATCCTGGTCTTTGCCTTTGCCATCGCCGCCGGTATCTGCGGCCTGACCCAGATCACCCAGTACCGGAGCCACCCCGCCGACGTCTACGTGGGCTTCCTGATCGGCTCCGGCATCGCCGCGTACCTGGTGTGTGCTGGTCCTGCCCCTGGGCCGGGGAGGGGGCGGGGGAGGCTGACGGGGGCCCTGTTGACCCCACGCTCTCCAGAGCAGCTGTGGCTGCCCCATCCCTGGAAGTCTTCAATGCCCGATTGGATGTGGCTTGGAAGGTGGTCTGGTGGAAAACATCCCTGCCCATGGCAGGGGGATTGGACTAGATAACCTTTAAAAATCCTTTCCAACACAAACCATTCCAGGATTATGTGATTTCCTCTTCCACAGGCTTTCCATGCTGTTGGCAACTTCCGCGCCCCGACGGAGCGGGTCCCGGTGCCGGCACCAGCCAAGGACGCGCTGCGGGCGCTGACGCAGCGGGGCCACGACTCCGTGTACCACCAGAACAAGTCGGTGAGCACTGACGAGCTGAACCCACAGGCGCGGCTGGAGGAGGCGGCACGACCAGTGCCACGGGAGAAGAATTCGCTGGGCAGCCTGAAGAGGGCCAGCGTGGACGTGGACCTGCTGGCCCCCCGCAGCCCCATGGGCAAGGAGAACATGGTGACCTTCAGCAACACCCTGCCCCGCGTCAACACGCCCTCCATGGACGACCCCGCGCGGCGCCACATGACCATCCACGTCCCCGTGGACGCCTCCCGCTCCAAGCAGCTCATCACCGAGTGGAAGCAGAAGTCACTGGAGGGCCGGAGCATGACGCTGGCAGAGGAGGCGGCCCAGGGCCGGGGCACGGGGGAGCCCAGCGAGGAGGTGCCCCCTTCCCTGTACCCCACGGTGCAGGCACGCTCGGCTGAGCGGGCGGCCATGGGGCCCCGTGTGCTCATCCAGCCCCGTCCGGGCGCCTCGCAGCTGGTGCACATCCCCGAGGAGAGCCAGGCGGGCGCTGCCGCCCCGGCCGGCAGCGGGGCGGCCGTGCGGGCCAAGTGGGTCATGGTGGCGGAAAAGGGGGGAGCGCAGCGGGTGGCCAACCCCCCACGCCTGATGCAGGTCATCGCCATGTCCAAGCAGCAGAGCCTCGTCTCTGTCACTCCCAAGCACTCAGAGACGTCCTCGTCCTCCACCAGCTCCGACTCCTCTCAGTACCGCTCGCCCTCCGAGCGGGACAGCTCCAGCATCATCACCATTGATGCCCACGCCCCCCACCACCCTGTCGTTCACCTCTCTGCTGGCAATGGGCCCTGGGAGTGGAAATCGGGGCCAAAGGGGCCAGAGGGACCAGACACCTACGAGCTGGGTGAGGTGGGGAAGGATTTCCGTGGCTTCCGCCCAGCCAAGAGCGCCGGTGTCTCCCCTGGTTCTTCTGTCAGCGACATGGAGCAGGACGAGCCGCGCTACGGCAGCCTGGCCGCCATCCCGGGGGCTGCGGGGGGCAGCGGGGAGCGGGGGGACCTGCCCCCCGAGGGGCTGCTGGCCACGGCCAGCCGCGAGTCCACGCTGCGCAGGAAGCCGGCCGAGCGGGACGGGGCGGCAGACAGCGAGGTGGACCTGTACTACAAGAAGATGCAGGCGGGCCGGAGGTTTAAGGACTGAGCCCCGGTACCTTCCTGGGGCCCCCTGCCCCGGCTCGGGGGGCTCTGTGGGGCCGGGGCCCCTCTCTGCAGGGAGCAGCAGGACAGGGTTGGCTTTGGCATCAAGCAGCGCGAGGCAGAGCACGGCCACGCCGGTCCTGAGCCAGCTGAGACATCTGCTCCCAGCCAGGCAGCTGGGGGGCTCTGCTCCCCCCCACAGCCTGCAGGGCTGTGCAACTCCAAGCACTTTGACTTTCTCTCTAACACTGGTGCTGACATTTCCGAGGGGTTATTTTATTCCAGCTCTGGAAGGGGATGTCTGTCGGGGGGTGGGGGGGACACAAATGGTGCTGACGGGCTTTGGGGGGCAATGGATCAAGGGCTCGGGCGGGGGGGAGGCTGCTGTGGGACAGCAGGCCCTGGCTTGTGGGGGGTTTGTGGGTGCTGGGGGTCCTGTGACACTGACCCCCATCCTGCGCCACTGGTTTGTGTGGGGAAGGCCGAGGGGGGCCGGTGCTGAAAGGGAGGGTCTGTCCAGGGCTGAGGCTCTGGGCACACAGAGGCTGTAAATACTGCAGGGGCTGGAGGAGAGGGGGGCACTGGGGTAGGGGCACAGGGCCCAGGGGGCAGCAGGGGCTGAGCTCTGCCCCAGGAGAGGGGTCGAGTTTTGGGGGGTATAGGGGAGGCGGTCTCCAGGCTGTGAATACATCGGGAAATGGCTGGAGCTGCTGTGGTTTGAAAAGCAAATAAACACGTGGATGTTCCCTGGCTGGGCTCCTTTGACAGGGTGTGGGCAGCTGGTCCCACGGCTGGGGGACAGGACTGGGGCTCCAGCACCCACGGGGGCTCCAGCACCCACGGGGGCTCCCAGCCCGGGGGGCTCCCAGCCTGGGGCAGCCACATCCCCCCGGAACAGGACGCTGTGCCAATGGCACCAAACTGCCACTGTCAATTGGATTAACAGTGGATATCCCAAAGCCTCTGCCTTGCAAACATATGGATTATCCACATAACCCTGACTCGGTGCTGGAAAAGCCACTCGGGATTAGCGGCAGGATTGTGGCAGCAGCTCGTGGTGTGAGGGGTTACGGGGGGCCCTGGGAGGGGACCCGGAGGGGTCCGACGCCAACCAGCAGCGGCACGAGGGGCACGAGGGCTGCGGGGCTGCCGCGTCCGGCCGCGCGGTTGACCCGGGGAGGTGACCCGGGGAGGTGACCCGGGGAGGTGACCCGGAGCCTCCGGCGAAGGTCACCAGGACAGAGGCCGCGCTCACGGCCGTCCTTGCCGCGGGCTGGGGCGGTGCGGGGGCTCCCAGCCCACCAGCCCCACTCGGCCCCGCGCTCACGGCTCACTGCGGTGCCGATGGCGTCACGCGCCGCTTCCCTCTGCCTCTGACCCAGCGGTTTCCATGGCAACTGCCAGCCCCGCACCGCTCCCGCAGCCACAGGCACCCCTCCAGCCCCACACCCGCTCCTGCACCGCTCCCCCAGCCCCCGGCCCCCCTCTCGGGCTGCCCCCCAGCAGCCGCTGCTGCATCGCTTGAGGACCCGCGGGGCCGGGAAGGAGCGGGAGCATCCTCATCCTCCATCCCCCCGCAGCAGGAAGGACTACCAGCCCCCGCCTCATCAGCTCCGGCCAGGACTCTGCCCCGGGACCACCCGTGTCCGCCTTTTCCGCCGGGAACACCCTCTGCCCCCAGCCCGTCCCCCGGGTGAGCACCAGGGAAGGGCTCCCCGGCTTCGTGACACACAAAGGGCTCAGCCGCGCCCCCGCCCCATCCCCGGGCTCGCTTTGCCCTCAGCCAGGGATCCCCCATTTGGGGCTTCTGCTTTGGCGTTTCTGCTGGCAGACAATTCCCTTTTTGTACCCAGCGGGGCCGGGGGCGCAGGGAAGGCCGGGGTTCAGGGTGTTCACTCTGCAGTGAGTTCCTTCCCGCTGCTCTGGGCAGGAGGAGCTGGAAAAGCCCTTTGGTGCAGACGTGCGCGCTCCCGCTGGAACAGCCCCGGTTTCCCTACGTCAGTTTTCCCGTTAAAGGCAGCTTCAGGGAAGTTCCCTCCACTGCCGGACACAGGCCGGGAAGAGCTCGGCAGCACGGGGGGCTCTGCCGTGGCAAGGGGTGGGACGGGATGCGGCCCCCCCGGGAGCCGCCGCCGTTCCCATGGGGACCCCGTCCATGGCCATCGCTGCCCCATCGATCCTTCAGCAGCCGATCAGCGTCCAAGGGGCCCAGAATGGATGCAAAGCCTGGGCTGGACCCCAGAGAACTCGGGGAACCGACCCAGGAGCAATGATCCTGCTCACTCCTGCGGGGCAGCAACACAGCCCGCTCGGTCCAGCTTTCACATGTGCACCGAGCCCAGGAGGGGCAGCTGCTACAAATCCCATCAGACTTTCGAGGAGCAACAGTGGTCCCCTTCAGCAGTCCCTGGCTCCAGCAAGACCCCCTGGGTAACCCTGGGGCCCAAGGCCTGTGGAGTGTGCTGGAGCCTAATGCTGGCTGAGCACAGAGGGACAGGGACAGCAGAGCCACAGCAGCAGCTCAGGGTGGGGACTGTGTCTCCCCCAGGACACAGGGTGACTTTTGGGCAGGAGCTCGAGCAGAGCTCAGCATACAGGTAAGGAACCAGATCCCTAAGGAAGCACCGTGCTCCTCTGGGAGCTCATGGAGGGAACAGGAATTGCACCTCCTCCCACGGGATGGAGAACAGCACATCCAGCCCCACAGCTATAGCACAGGACTACAGAGAGGAGGGTTTGACTCAAAGTGGGTTATTTTTCATGAATATTAGCCAGAACATATGGAAAGTTTAGGAACATGAAGTAAAAAGTGCTGGAGTGTGACACAGGCAGAACATCAGTGAGGGCCCAACCAGCCTCAGGTCTCGGGGCTCTGGCCCAGCACCGAGGGGCTGGAGGGCCAGACCCCATCCCATGCTCCACAGAGACAGGGACAGCTGCCAGCCCAGAGTGTGTGGTGAAGAGTCAAAGTTAAATAAAATGAGGCAGCTGGAATTACATGAGAAGGAAAAATCAGAAGCAAAACAGGCACAATAAAGAGGAGGAAGATCAGGAGTGAAGGATACAGAAGAATTTATTGAAAGCACAAGTACAGACTGGGCACCAACTGCTTCTACAATCTCAACAGGAAATAATGGAGCTACAGAAAGGTACAAAGGTTGTTATAAAGTAGTTTTAATTTCTTTTCTTTTTGCATTACAAACATTCTTTGAAAGAGGCAATGGAATTCTGATGGTGTGTACGCTTCCCCTCCCCACCCACCTTCCACAATACTGAACCTGGAATTGCTGTTATCAAAATATACAATACATCTGGTCACCATAAAAAACTGGGTTTTGCTGCCCCTCATGTCTTACAACAGGTATAAAAAAATTATAAATATGTACACCCTTAGTTACTCACATTCTTTACATGCAAACACAGGATCCGAAGGGAGCACCTGCCGTGCCGGGGGCCCGGTTACCCCAATCCAGCCGTGATTTGCACAGGACACCCAGAGTGTCCTGGCCAGGGCCCGGCCCCGGGAGCCTCCCCAGCGCTGGGGGAGGGTGATGGGGGCACTGACCCTCTGTGCTGGGTGGGCTGGGTCCCCTGGTGGGTCTTCCAACAGGGAGGGGAGGAGGCGACAGCCACCGAGACCCCCGGATGTGCCTTCTGAGCACAGGACACGGGCAGGGCCCCAGGGAGCTCTGCAGGGGGAGGTCCCCGGCTCCAGCATGGATTTAGAGGTACCCAAAAGCAGCTAGGGCAATGCTGTCACTGGGGGTCTCGCCCCCCTCGGCCAACGGGGGGGACCCAGCACACCACAGCCCCAGCCGGGCCCCCACTCGGACCTCACACGCTTCTCCAGCATAAATCATACCCTTGAGAGTCCAGGGAGGAACTACAGAAAGTTAAGACTTTTCCAAACACTCAGTGCTAGGCAAGTCAAGAGCTCCCACACCAAGCAAGGAAATCAGAACTTGCAACACTAAGACAATTAAAAAACAAACTTTGGTCCACAATTTGCAGAAAAACCCTGAAAAAAAGTACAAGATTCTTGTTATTTTGCATCCGAACAGGTTGCAGGTTAGAGGGAAATGTAAGGCAACATTGGATCACACGGAATAGAAGGCAGAATGGCCCGGGAAAGAGTTGTAAGCCAGAAAAAAAAAATAATTAAAAAAAAAATGGTTGTATCATTGGGAAAAACCGATCTGCTGCATTCTACTTTTAATAAATTCCCTTCCTAGAACAACATCTGGGCTTATAGGTTCAAAAGGTAAAAAAATCTTTAGCCTGGGTCCTTTTCCTTCCATTCCCGAGCTGTTTGTGCTCGTTCTCTCACACCCTTGGCTCTGCTCATCCTCAGCCACGACCTCAGCCTGGAAACTACTCCTGCCCTACAGCTTCAATTACAAAACAAAGAAAATAAAGTACAGTATACACGGGTAATACCACAAAGGAGTAAATTTAGATTACGTTTATACCATCTTATCATTCTATAAAAGGTACTTAAACTATTTCTTTTGCATATAAAGAGATTAGAATATTTGGTCAACTGGAAATATTGCTAGGCACAGAGGACAGCAACGGCATCAAAGTATAATACAAGGATTCAAACAAAAGCTCAAATGCTGAAGACATGCTCTAAGAACGATGGCGGAGCTACAGCGGCCTCGTTAATCTCCAATTAGGGGCAGAAGGTGCCTTGCAGGCGCCTTTCTAATCATGGGGTATCCAAGGATTCTCCAAATCCTAGCCAAGCGTTTAGGTATATACACACACAATTTTGACAAACTCTGATTCATCTCTCAAGTGTCCCACAGGGGCTCTCCTGTCCCTCACCAATGCTCTGTGAGGGCAGAGCCCGCGGGCTCGCTCCTGACACTGGAATGTGATTTGGCCTTGGGAACGCTCCCCCACCCAGACCTCTGCTGGCCCGAGCGGGACAAAGGATCTGGGGTGACTCCCACCTGAGGTGCAGGTGGCAATGACCCACGAGCAGCCTGGGGAGCGGCACAAGGCACGCTGGGATTGAGACGCTCAGTGGGGTACGACTGCCCCGAGTCCCAGCCCAGCGTTTCCTTCCTCCGCTTTGCCAGCTCCCCCAGCTGATCGTGGCCAGAGCTGCTCCTCCCCCTCGGCTCTGCCCATCCCCTCCCTGCCGCTCGGATGGTTCCCCCAAGAAGTAGAAGGTTTAAGGCACAGGACAGCAGGTGCACAAGTAAGGTGGGATCAATGCAACCGAGTGTTGTGCTGGGCGGGCTGGGAGCTCCTGGTCACTGCAATCCTGACTCCAAGGCGCTACAGTGAATTCACACAGTGGTTTTAGGTCTTTCAAGGCATGGATGGGTAAAGAAATTAAAAAAGGCATCAATGTGAAACCTGATAAAACTTGTTGGGATCTGCTTTTTAGGGGAGGAGCAGGAGGGGAGGGGAATTTCCCAGAGCAGGTTCCATAGTGTAAACTTGAACTTGTGATTTTTATTGGAACAGTCAAGATTGTTACCCATCACCGCAAGGTTAGCAAGAGGAATTAGAGTTAATTTTCTTTTTTTTTAAAAACCGGTAAACTGATTTCTCTTTAAAAAAATAAAATCTCTGGTCTTTTAAGGTCACTTCAGCTGCATTTTTTTAAAGTGGCTTTTTTTTTTTTTTCTGGAATGATGGAAGTTGAAACTCTGGTGTCCAGCCTTTTAAGGTCAAGGCTGAGCCCCACAGGTTTTAAGTCAAGTCCATTTTGTCTCAGGCCTTCCCAAGCTCTAAATGGTGGACTTGGAGAAGGACACACGCAGGTGATGGTTCTCCCCCAGGTCATGATTGTGGAACTCAATGAGGGACTGAATGGCTTCTTCCACAGAGCCCATCTGGATCAGAGCCATTTTACGGTCCTTCCTGACAAGACACAAGTTTCAGGCATGTTCAGTTCCAGTGCAGGAGCTTCCCCAACTCGATCCAAGTTCTCTCATCCAGCACTTGATGGGGCTGGCAGAGAACTAACCCCCTCCAGGTACTTGCACTACACTCACTCTCTACACAGAGGAGTATCTCTGTAGCAAGCACATACAGCCCAACTTCTCAGCCAGTGCTCAAACCAAAGTTACTCAGGAATTCTTTATTCCAGAGTCAAATGCTGCATTAGTGAGGATTCTGCTCACCTTTTTGAGCCTGAGGTGGGATTTGATTGGAACTAAGTACTTCCACCCTTCCCATACAGAGAAGCCCAGTGTAAGGAGAGGACATGACACAAAACACTTACTGGAAGAATTTGAATCCTTTGACCACCCCACCATTGCTTGAAAATAACATCTTAAGATCTTCTTCAGTTATTGAGGGTCTGAAAGAAATAGTGTTTCCAGTCAAAAGGACATTGATAGACCCAGTTAATCTCAAAAAAATAATTGTCATCAGAGACTTTTCTAAATTCCCTACCAGCAGCGTCTTGGCATGGCAAGGAGATGGAACAGGGAGCTGGGGCAGCTCTCCTGCCAGCAGCAGAGCTGCCTGTGCCTGCACTCAGACACAAGCTGCAAACACTCCAACACTCGGCCACATCCCCAGCAGGTACTTACGGAATATTGGACAGATGAAGAGTGGCAGAAGGGGGAAAGATATTCTGGAAATTTTTGGAGCCTGGCTTCTTGAAGCGATGCAGAGGAGAATTCCCAAAGTCCTTGGTCAGGCGTTGCTCCTCCTGGCCCTTGCCAGGCAGCTGCACTGTCTGGTGCTTGGACAGCGTGATACGGATCGGCTTCCCGTGCAGCTTCTGCCCATTCAGGTGGCTCATGGCTGCAAGGGAGGACACACCTGACTGCAGGGGTACTTCAGGTTTGTTCAGACACGAATTCAAAGCCAGAATTGCACTCTAGTCCTGCCCTCGCAGACACCCCACCCTGCAGGGTCCCTCAGACTCCCCGTGTTCTTAGTCTGCTTCCCTCTTGCACCCACGAGCCACCCCTGCCCCAGAGCTGCCCCACGGCCACGGCCGGGCTTTGGGTCTTCTTTTGCAAGAGAACAAAGTGCCAACATTAAAGCTTTAACTACCCATTTTGTCTCTTACTGCCCAGAGCCTGACACTCCCAAGCTTACCAAGCTGGGCCTGGTTCCCGTCGGTCATCTGAACTAGGGCATTCTCTTGCTTCTTAAATAAAATCTTCACCCTCTGCACATCACCATAGACTCCTTCAAAGAGGGAGTAAACAAGAACAGTCTTAGACAGGAAAACAAAACAAGTTCTCATTCAACTTAACATCAGCTAATCAATCCAACAGCAAAAAAATCCATTCCCAACCAGAACTGATCTCATTTCAACCACGGTTACGTATTCTGCTCTAATTAAGGGAATTCTTACATAGCAGAATAATAATGGAACAATACATTAAAGAAAAGACACTGGGTTTCAGCGAAAAGCCAAAATCTTACTGCCAGAAGACTGGACAATTTTGCATGCTCTCACAATTTAAAACTCTTATCAAAGACATGCAAAGCAATAACCCATGCAGAACTGAACCAAAACCAAAGGCAAACTAAATTAAACAGCAAACTAAATAAACAATGTAAAAAACAAAATTATGCATTCAAAAAAAATGGCAAACTGCAAACTGTACATTTCTGAAGTATCAAAAAGTAATCTCAAATAAATGAAAAACAAGGTAATAAAAAGTGTGAATAATAACATACCGAAAAGAATAAAGAGGCATTGGGGTGTAACTCTCTTTAGAGAACAGCAGAGCAAGGCAGCGGAGGGACAGGGAAGAGGTAAGGAATCGAAGGGGAGAGCGAGGTTGCACAAATCGTCCACAACGAGGAAGGGCAGAGTCCCCGCAGGAAATGGCGAAATTGGTTGATGGATGATGAAGTTTTCAAGATGGTTAATATTGAAGGGCAGGTTGGTTTCCGAAGAGCAGGGTTTTTATTTTTTTTTTGTTTTTTTTTTTTTTTTTTTTTTGGAAGGGGAATGTTTTTATTTTTTGTTTCAAGCAACAACAGGAAGCAGAAGTACCGTGCAGTCAGTTGGCAAAGAAATTCCGGATCAGGGGAAGAAAAAAAATTCAGGGATGGGGAGAAAAGAAAAAAGTAGCAAAAAACACAGGTCAGTAAATACATAAGGAATATGTAGTGTTCCATCAGTCAGATTTATAGAATTCTACATACAATAACTCGCTTACAGAAACAGTTAATAGGTTTTACCTAGTGGAACACAATGATAAAGAAAAGGCATTTTTACTTCAGATATACAAAGATGTAAGAGACAGTATCCCCACGGAGTGACTTCCACAGGCTGCAACACCCAATTCAACCACAGTGGCATTCCCTAAAATTTAACTCAAAAGACTTTCTCCATTTACACAAATTCCTTGGATGAAATGACTTCATGAACCAAGTCACAAACAGCCACATCTGCTGCTCCAGGGCCAGGCACTGCGGGAAGCAACCTGTGCCACAGCACTTGGCTGGGAAAAAGGAACATCCCCCACGGATACCAAGCACTGCTTTAAGGGAACAGATCATCTGGATGAGCAGCTGTACTGCCCCAAAAGCCCCCTCCAAGGCCTGCTGTAAGCACTTTGGATAAAGGGACTGCCGCCTCATTTGCAGAGCAGTCACTCCAGGCAATACTGTTTCTTTACTAACTGGTTGTGGCACAGGTAAGTTTCTACAACACTGATTATACAGGCAATGGGAAAAGTTTCATGTCTGTTAGTTTACAGCTTCAGTCCAAGTCCCAAAGTCTCTCTAGCCCAAAGACAAGCTGGATGGAGAGTGAAGAGCTCCTCAAAAAACACAGGGCATGAAATAACTGCTTGCTCCTGCCTGAACAGAGCTGTCCCCACTGGCACTGCTCGGGGCTGTGAGAAACCAAGAGGTGCAGCACAACCCGTTGTCCTGCCACTGCCATCCAGGCACCCAAGAGCATCCCTGGAGCACACACTTGGCAGCATCACTGGTCAGGAATAACAATGCCAGCTCTTATTAAGACTTATGATGGAACAAGCCAGAGATGAGAGTCCCTGGAATGGCAGAGCAGTTCCCAGGGAGCACGAGCAGCAAATCCCAAAGCTGTTCCACAGCCCCTGCCATTATTTCATGCTCTGGAGAGAACAGCAATGACAGGTAAGAGCAGTCTGAAACATGATCCAATTGGTTCATCTCATTCAGAGTTAAACATTTTGATCAGTCATCACATCCAGGCTTCCCCTTTGATCCAAAGAGGTTTTGTGGTGACTCTGCACTGGTAAGTTTTACAGCTTTGCAAAGTGCTATTAACGTGTGTGCACAGTCCCACCAGTTACAGCTCCTCAGCAGAGCTTTATCACTCTGCTGCGTACCAGAGGTTCTACACTTTCAATCCAACCAGAGCCAGGGGCTGACTGAAGGAAAAACCAAGCCCCCCGTATCCAATTCCCTTATGATGCTGTCTGTCATTAAAGAAGATGTTTGTTCAACTATTGCTTGCTTTATTTTTAAAGAAACCCAAATATTTCAACTCATTCAGTTAAGTAGAATTGAAAATGTAAACTGTGAGCTGTTAAGGGATTTAACTAAGGAAAAACTTCCAGAAATCCTGGAAGGGGGAAATGTGCAAGCACATGGCAGAGGAAATACTGCACAGGTACAAAGTCAAGCTGGCAGGGATCCAGACACTACACAGAAAGAGCAAAGATCAGCATGAAGCCTCTCTGTAGTTCTGAATTAATGTATTAAAAAATTACAACATGCCAAGGAAAAGGAATGGACATGGCTATTCTGTGACCCAAATGACACTATTCCATGGGAATGGCAGGGAGACTCCAAACAGAAAAGGGAAGGAGGGACAGGCATTGTAGTCTCTGGGGGACAAGAGCAGGCAGGCAGTATCCTTGGTGTTGAACCAAGGAAGAGCAATTTCAATTTGAGATGGACTTTCCCATTTCCCTTCAGCAACTAGGACTAGAGTACTGCTCTGCTCTGCAGTGGGGCCGGCAGAGCGCGGGCACCGCTCGAGCGGCGCCGCTTCCTTTGGGTACAGCAGGATTTCACTTTCAATGAATTTCAGCCCAATCCATGTTCAGAAAGTGAAAGCAGAGATAATAGGAAGGAGAAAAAAGTAAAGTTAGGACTGCACTAACCTCTGGGATCAGATTGCTAACCAGCAGCACGGAGTGCCCTGCCCCAGCCAGGCCGGGAATGGCAATCCGTCCTGCTGCAGCTGCTGCAGCTGCTGCTGGAATAGCCAAAGGAGTTAGTGCTCCAGGAACATTTGGAACTGTCAGGCCTGGAAATTAAAGAATATTAACCGGTAAAGAATTAACAGCATGTACTCTAGTGTATTTGCTGCACCAGAAGGGAGAACAGCACACTCTCTGAACCATGCAACTCATCATTCCCAACAGTGACCATGTATCCTAAGGGCAACAGGAGCCTCCGCTTCTGGTGCTGCAGGAAATGTTCTGGTTTCTAACAGGATTTGCTTTTGCAGGTTCCTCAGCACTCTCACACGTTTCACAAGCAGCGGACGAGCACAAAGCCTCAGCTCTGCTGTGCAGGGCAGGAGTCACACGCAGGGCGTGGGGAGGGTCCGTCCAACCAGGGCATGCACGACGTGCTCTCACCATGCATGCAACCACCAGGCACCCTGTGCCACCACCACCCAGCTCTCCTGAACGGGTTTACAGGCATTCCTGGGCTGTTCCCAGAACCAGCTGGTACCTCCTGTACTGGTTCCAAGGCCAAGAGCTCTAGAGCTCGAGAAACAACTGCCAGAGATCAATTCCATGGATTACTCCCCCAAACAGCCCTTCTTGTTTCCCAAGCAGGGATGGATGTTACCAAAACAGCATTGCCTCAACAGCCTGGTCTGTGCTTGTCTGTCATAAGCAAGGAAATTCCATCAGGTTCCCAGAAAGTCAACATGGCTTGGAATGCTGAGAGCCCCAGCAAAGCCTGTTTAGACTGGCACTCCAGTGAGTGTGCAGCACCTCCATCTTTCATCTCAGACTCTTGGCCACTAACCAACCTCTGCAATCCCATGAGGAAATTCAAAGCACAAGAACTTGTATCTCTTCCCCATGTCCCTCAATTATTTTAAACCCTGTCTTTACTGTCTCTCCCATCCTGCTTCATGTATTTTCCTCCTGTCACCAGGACATTGCCCAGAGGTGCTGCAGCTGCACACAATGTTCCTGGCTGGGTGATGTACTGGAACACCAGTCCCTTCCATACCCAAGTGCCAGCATTTAGAATTTACATGGCTAACCCCAGAAAAACTACCACTACTTTGACTTAAAACATCAAGATGTTTCAACAACAGAAAACCTACGTAAAATTTGAACTTACGAAATACAGTACCTGCAGCCTGAGGAATGGCAAAAGTAGGAGGAAAGCCAGCTCCTGCATATGGAGGAGAGATTATTCCTGGGGCACCTGGGAAAGACATATACATTATGCAAAGACATATAACAGCAGGAAAATGCTACATTTCCCAAAACTATGGAACATTCTGAGTTGGAACAGACCCTTAAGGATCATTGAGTTCAACTCTTAGCCCTATACAGGGCAGCCCCAACAATCACACCAAGTGCCTGAGAGCATTGTCTAAGTGCTTCTTCAACTCTGTTAGGCTTGTGTTGCGACCACTTCCCTGAGGAGCCTGTTCCAGTGCCCAACCACACTCTGGGGGAAGAATCTTTTCCTAATATCTAACCCAAACCTCCCTAAAGTTATCTGTAATGTCTTGATCTGTTCTTCCACACAAACATTTAGTTTAAAGCTAAACCCTAAAACGCAAACAGCAATTCAAAAATGCCTCCTGTGTAACACTGAACTTCAAGAGATTACAGAAACGATCCCTCTGCTAACCCTGCTGTTCTGGAACAGCCCCGAGGATGAGCTGTGACCGGGACACAGCCCTCGCTGCAGGAGGTGCCGAACCCGCAGTGCTCAGGGCGAACACCAGGTGGCGGCAGACCCGGCGTCCGGAACGCTCCGACCCTCGGCCATTCCCAGCTTTTCCTCCCTACTCACACTGTATTCTGAATACACCAGGATGACGCCCCTCCCCTTCCCACACTGACACACACACACCCCAGATGGATTTTTTCTGCTCCCACTCCCCAGACTCTCACCAAAAGCAGCTGCCATGGTCTGGTCCAGGGTGGGCTGATTGTCCCCAGAGGGCAGGTCTGGGCGGGTGTAGTCTCTGCTCTTGTCGTTATTATACTTCACGTTAAGACTCGTGAGCTTGGAGAAGTCGATGCGCAGCGTGCAGCAGGCGTTGTAGATGTTCTGTCCGTCTAGAGACTGGGAGGAAACAAACCAGTCCTCACCCAAATGCGCTTAGACCAAGCTCACAGCAAGTGCTCTCTGGAGAAAGGTGTTAGGCCACCCCAGGGCTCCACCTGAGGACAGGCAGGTATCTCCTGTAGAGACAGCTCTGCCTCATTCGGCCCCTCTGGCAGCCCCTGAGCCACCCAGGCTGTATGTGGGGGCAATTCCCTCCCACTCATGCTCTGCCCTCAGGGCAAGGCTGGTGCTAGCCCAGCAGCACCTCTGAGCACATCCCAATGCCAGCATCCCACCTGAGCTTGGATTAACCAAGGCAAACCCGACAGAGTAATCCAGGCGTGCAGCACTCACCAGTTTGGCATGCTGAGCACTCATGGGGTCAGCATATTGCAACAGGGCCTGAAACTGGTGGTTCTTTGTGAATGTGATGATTTTCAAGACTGTACCAAATTTGGAAAAAATCTGCAAGATAATATTTGGATATCTTGTTATCACATTACCAGTAAGATAATTTCATATTGATCTCTTATCACATGCAGAAACAACAGTCATCTTTTCAGCCTGTCAACTTCCAACTGAAACACTGAAGGTTTTAAACCACACCCTGGGCATCAGCCTAGAACACACCAGAGTGATTGAACCGCCCCCTAAACACAGTTTGTTTGTTCTGGGTTATTACACAGGAAGATTCACAAATACCTTCACAACTAGACCTTTTCCAGGAATTTCAAGGATTCTTTAATGCAGTCAAGGATGCATTTTAAACACGAAGATGAAGTTAAGCAACTGCAGCAGGCAGTGGGAACTTTCCAAACTGCCTGATGGCTCCTGGACACTGTACGTTTCCTCTGCCCTGGCGTGAGGACAAGGTGCAGCTACTTTTGCTAAAACCTAAAGAGAACTTGAGGAACTGTAATCAATCTAATTAAAGTGGACCAGGAATCAAACCTCTGGAAATTAAAGTCTGGCCAGAGTGGGACCAATCTCCTGTAGGTGTCAGGTCTCCAGAGAAGTCTGACAGCTCTGTTCAGAACTCGCGTTGTACAAACGCAAACCAGAGACACTGCAAATACAACAACGCACCAGGTGTTGCTGCCCCTTCCTCCAGGAACCTCAAGCAGTTGTGGGGACGTGTTTTACCTGATGCAGAACATCCAGAGTGACGGGGTAGAAGAGATTCTCCACAATGATCCTCAGGACAGGGCTCTGGCCAGCCATCGCCATTCCCGCGTCGACGGCCGCAGCCGTGGCTGCCAGCGCCAGGTTCCCGGTCTGCACCGTGGCCACGGCTTGCAGAGCTGCTTGGGCACGCTGCAGGACCAAACACCCCGTCAGACCCACACTTCTGCTTGCAAAAACACACTGTCAGCCCTCCTGGAGCTTCCTGCTCGTGACCAACCAGCCGGCTGCAGCGGCGAGCACGACAGTCCCGTGCTGCTCCCGAGGCTGCGGATCCACGGCTTGGGCACATTTGAAACAGGGCTGACACAGACCACCCCAACCACTCAGGGTAATGCAAAAATGCAAACTAAATCAACCTTGCTCAGCATCAACAGATGCAGCAAAATTATCCCATTATTTATAAAAAGGGAAAAATGAGGCTCTTTTGGGGTGAAACACCATCTCCAGAATCCTAGAGAAGCTGACAAGACTGAAAGATTGATGCATATCTGCTACAGGGATTCAGGAGTGGGAACTGCCTGGGGGTGTTCCTGCAGAGCCCTCTCACACACAACACGTGCTCCAGCTGCGAGAGCACCAATAGCAATGTCACCCAGCAGCAGCATTCCCTCTGCACAGCATTGGGTGCTCTGATCCTGAAAAGGGAGAGGAGGCAAAGGGGATGTACTGGCAGTCATCCCTGATAAGGACCCACAAGTAACTTGAATTTCTTTCCAGTGTTCCCGTCCTACAAGATTGCCAAGAGCAGCTGAGCTGAAAACAGGAACTTTTTCCCCTCAGCAGAGTGTGTGGTGCACAGAAACCCTCAAGGGCCCAGAGCGAGCCTGAAGACCTGCTGGGTTCAGGTGCTGCTGCCTTGAAGCTGCACCTACCTGCACCAGGCTGTGCTCCACCACAGGTGAGCTCTGCCTCATCAGGGCTGCACTCTGCAGAAATCTTTCAAACACTAGAAACAAACGCCCTGAAGCACCAGACATTACCCAAGCCCCTGGATCTCAAACCACCAGCTGAGACCTGGCTGTCCCCCCACCCTGGGACGACAACACAAAGAACAAACTGACTGCTTGGTTTGGAGAGTTGTCTGTCTTCAGCTCCTTGTGGTTGGAGAACTGGATGTAGATGGGCTGGCTCCGGAGCATGGGAGCGATCGTGGTGTAGTAGTTGACCATGGTGTTGGCTGCCTCCTCTGTGTTCATCTCTATGAAAGCCTGGGGAGTCAAACCCAACACAGACACGTCACACCAGGACAGCAGCAGGTCACCCTGAACAGAACCTCCAGTGAAGCCGTAGCAGGACTGGATTTTCACAACCCACTTACACACACGGAACTGTTTAAGAGCAGAACAAACGAGGACCTTCCCTCTCCAGACTGATTTAATGCAATAGCTTCAGTGTTGCCCTAAGATCTCCATATGTGTATTTAGACATAAGTGTCTGCAAGAACACAAAATACAGCAACAATCCACCCTTCACTTCTCTCCAGGGCAGGAAGCCCCCTCGCTGCTCTGCACCCTCAGGGGCTTCTCTCCCTCAGAACACAAACGTAAGGGACTGTAGCGAGTCACTGCAGTAAGCACTTATGTATAATCACACCACGCAATATATCAGAGGCACCTTTCCATAATTAAGATTAAAGACATCATTTTAAGCAATGATTAAAGTTGACTTGCTTTTTTACTCCTTAATTTGCAAGACAATTTTAGTTACCAAATTAGTGCACACCTCCTGCATTACCCAAGAGTGTTTCAGCCTCACGCAGCTCATTTACTGGATCTGGAAAGGTGTCCTCAATAGGCCACGTTGCACGCTGCTAACTTGGCTGCCGAGCCAGCCCGAGTGAAAAAGGCCAACTCATGACACTGCTGCTCAAATAATTCCCTGGTCTGCAATTTCCAAACCAGGCCTAACGCTAATTATAAGTGACAACCTGTAATTATGGACTGAGCTCCTTCTGCAGCCCGAAAATAGTATTTTCTACAGCTCATAGGATAATCACAGAAAAGTAAAATAAGAGTATGCAGAAGTTATTGACTCCTAACACACGGCAGTTGTTTAAACAATTTGGAGCTGGTTTCCTGATGACAAACTCATCGAGCCTTTGACACAATCCCTGCTTTCAATTATGGAGACAATACCTGGTTTTTTCCTTTCAGCATTAGAAGATTGGTGACCTTGCCAAAAGGTAAGCCCAGAGAAATGACCTCTGCCTCCGTGACGTCACTGGGGAGCTTACGGACGTGGATTACTCGGGATGGGACCCCAGCACTTCGACTGTCACCTTTGAACTTTTTGCTGTCATTTCCATTATCTGTAAGAAACAGGAGTCACTGCTGATGAGAAGGGTCTGGAAGAACAAGCACGCACTTCCCAAATGCTGACACACAGACTGTGCTCCCCAGCCAGTTACTGCTCTATGACAGAGAAATTCCACAGTCTAAGTTAACTTGAGTCTGAAGACACATGGTTTTACTCTCTTTTCCCCCCAAATTACACGATGGGAGTGACATAGCTGAATGCCACTGCAATGGAATCAACTCTCCAGTGGCCATTTCACAGCCTGTTTACAGCACACACCCACCCACCCACATTTCTAGTGCAGGCCTGAGCCACTAACCCCAGATTGCTGCTTTATTCCTTTCCACTTGGCCTGGTGTTCTTGGCAGCAGTTTATTATTATTATTCAGCACTGTCCTACAAAGGCCTAATAAGTACGAAAAATGAAGAGATTTTAAAATTACAACTACGTAGGAAAATCCAGATCTCCTCACAGTACTTGCAATACTTAGAAATAATTGCTGTGCTTGTTTCTACATGATATTACCTGAAGAAGCAGCGTTGCTGTTCATGATAAAGGGTCCATTAGCAACACAAGGAGAGAAAAGCTCGTCAGGTCCCCGCTGGAAGAGAACAGATGGAAGGTAAACAGACAGCATTTTACTCAATTCTATCCAGGTACTCCTAAAGCAGAACAACTGAGAGAAAGCTGGAGAGGAGCTGAACACAAGTGTAAGTGAAAACATACTGACAGTGGGCAGTGAGGCTCACCTCCATGAATTAAGTATCAGTCAGATCCAGTTTGGTAATGGAGCAGCACTATCCAGTATCTCTTTTCAGCTCAGCATTAGGGATCTTGGGGCCAGAGTGTTGCTGAGTCGTGTGAAGCCACCACACGAGCGCCGTGCACCGACCGGCACCTTCCCCTGCCGTACCCAGCACAACAGGTTTCTGACTGCTCCTAGCCCACAGGATTTTCACTCTGAAGCTGCCAAAACTCTTTGGGTATGACTTGGCAGTTATGAACCAAAGCTATGTACTTTGTGCCCCATCCCTGGAAGTGTTCACAGCCAGGCTGGACAGGGCTTAGCACCCTGATGTGGTGGAAGGTGTCTTCTGGTAACAACATTCCCCGGAAAGTCCCACAAACCACCTCAACTGACCAGGACTGGTCTAACCCAAGTAGGAGGCACGAAAAACACTACTAAGACAAAAGTAAACGTGACTACGAATGACTTCTTAGCACAATCTGTACCTGCATACACAATACAGCTTACAATCAGCATGGCTTAATTTCAAGTTTCACAGAAGATTTCAAATCCCATTGTAAATTGTGAGTGAGCATGATACTACAGATCTAACACATAAGAGTACTTTCTCATAACTTTCTACATTACTCTTCCACAGAAATGCCACACTAAAAGGCTTTCACCATACAAAAAAGCTCAGAGCTCATCCCTGCCTCAGCTAACTCCCACCCACCCTGATGGAAACATACCCCGCTCCACACCGTGGCACCAGAAACCCTTATCTTCCACATGCCCTGTATCTGGTGGCACCTGCAGAAACAGGATCTCTGCAGAAGAAAAGCTCTGTACACTCTCCCAGCAAACAGGCTGGGAAAGTAGGTCACCGAGAACCCCAGAACACCCAGCTACAGACACAATTTGGTTTTTTTTTTCTTTCCCCCTCAAATCTTGAATTTCTTGTTTGACTACTCACTGCCAGCTCTTCAAAGAGGCTTCAAGTACTTTGATGTCCCAAAGAGGAGAATTAGGCCAGGTTCCCAACTGTGGTTCATGTGCTGCTGCTGGTCACCTGCAAGCACTGACCAGGTCCCACCAAGGCTCTGTGCACAGAGGCCTCCTCCTCCTCCTCCCATGGCGCAGTCATTAGGAACGGGCCTTTTAACAGCTGCTCTAATTAGCACTTTGATTCCTGAGTACAGCAAGAGGCAAGCTGGGCCGGGAGGCTACTAGACTGTGAGCCCATCCTTTGATGACTCAAATCAAGGCATAAATCCAAGGCTAAAAGAAATCCCCCAGTTTAACTGTAAGAACACTCTTGTGCCTACACTGCTGCAGCCGCTCCAGGTACAGCTTCCCATGCTGTGGCCTGGGATCCACCTGGCAGCTGCTGACAAGAGCCATCGACCAAAGCACAGTCCTACCCACACAGACAGGTGGCTTTGGCCTCAGGAAAGCCCTCGCATCAGGATTTAACGGGCCTTCACCATTTTAAAACATGTTCCTAAATATTAACTTGTAAAGTTCTGCACACCCAGAACCCCAGGTCTTCCAGTACAACTCGGTGTGTCCGTGCAAGCATACTGGGCAACTCCTGCAATCCATCGTGCAAACTCCAGGAGAACAGGCCACATACTTGGCTCTCATGGAGGCAACACTAGGAAACTAGAAACTGGAAAAACAAGCATTTATACTATTACGGAAAGAATTTCTATTCCCTGAATTTAACTTTCCTAATGGCTTGTTTAAAGTAAACATTTTTTTTGCATATTTGAAAACTTCCTGGCAGGCCCTGTGATAAGGATGTCACTGCAGCCAGGCTTGGGCTCCACGTGTCCATGTGGTGTCTGTGTCTCTTTAACGAGAGCAATTTCCAGTCCACTCCCCTCTTATCTCGGAGACAGCCTGTGCTGCCCACTGCGACCAGAGCCGGGAGGCAGAGGGGGATGACTGTTCCACATCAAAAGCAGCAGCAGCCAATTTGTAAGCTTCCCAGCTGGAAGTACATGCAAACGAAGAGGGAAGACTGCCGTACAACCGCGGTTATTCCAAGGTCTTTTCTCTACACAAGGAAGTTTACAGACAGTACATGTAGTACTGCACAGTCACAGCAAAGTTATTTCCCACATCTCCCTTTAGAGGGGTGGCTGTTGAAGTGCAAGAGGAGCAGACCCAGCGCCCCAAGGAGCTGCAGTGGTTCCCCTGAGCTGCCACCCCCACGCCACACAGCCCAGTGCCCAGCACGACCACGACTCCTCCGTTCCTTTTGGAGCTGATACTGGATAGCCACAGGAAATCATTCCTTTTTGGAATGACCAAACCCGAGGCAAACTGAAACCCAGTTCCCTATGACCCTGCCCCCAGCAGTGGGTGCTCAGCAGCCTTGATCAGCTCTCTGCCCTTACACTGCAGGGATGGCCAGTCTCTTTCCAGACTCGTCTAGTCTGTTCTTTCTGGACCTATTAAAAACTCTGAAGAGTTTCTGTAAAACCACAGCATAAATTCAAATGCTTCATACCAAGTACCCAATTCAGTAGAGGCAGAGGAACCAAAGCAAGTCTGGTTGGTTGAACAGGTTTAGAAGACTTTCTCACTAACAACGTACCCACTGGGTATTTTGAATTATACTGGGAAAGCCAGCAGAAAAGTTATTGATTCCAAAGTTTTATGTAATTTAATTTAGGTTTAAAACAAAGCAAACCCAGCAAGGGCTGTGTGGGTGCTCAGTGCTCACACCCACATCCACCCACAGCACTGCTTCTCTCCCTGCTGCATTTGCTGAGTTGTTGGGGGAGGCCCAGCTGCACTTCAAGATATGGTTCTCCAGCCCCCAGTTCCCATCCCTGCTCACAGAGGCATTAATTATGCTGACATTTCTGCTCAGCCACTCGTTTGCAGCTGGTATTTTTATGACAAGATTAACAGAAGCCACAGCGTGCTTGCAGCACATCAAATTCCTCGTTTGAACTAACAAATCTCCTCTTCCTGTTGACTGAAAACAACCACCACTTCTGGAGTTACACTGCCAGATCCTACCTAGAGCAGAGTAGGGCTGTTTCCACCACCCAAATCCCCAGGGAGCAGCACAATGGCACCACGGAAACCCTGCCGGGAGGGGTTTCCATGCCAGCAGCCTCCTCTGGCCTGACACTCCTGGCTACAGGAGGCCCCTTGCCCAAGCTGCACTAATTTAATCACACTCTGGGGCAGCTCTGCTGCCAACACTTCGTTCCCTTTTCTGAGCCATGGAGAGGGAGGCAAGGTACAACTTAACATTTCATATGTTCTCCAGTTATCTTTTTGACCACCACCCAAACTCGAAGCCTTGCTTTGCTTTAAAGTTTTAACAAGTAAGTCTTCAGAATTTTTAGTCTGTACAAGCTTTCACATCTTAAAAAGCAACATCTTGCTCACATACACTACGTGCTGCCTCACTGCCAGTAGGATTTTACCTGGTTTACCACACTCTGGAATGAGGCCAGAGATTGTCTCAGCTTCTACCAGCATACCTAGAAGTGCTACAGAAATTCCCAGCTGCCCTATATAATCCTTTATCTACTTAAGATCCAGCACTTATTTTAAATGGATTACAGTAAGTCAACTGCATCCTGCCTGTGCAAAAGGCTAGAAAACAAAGTGAACGATCATAAAAATATTCATTTAAAGTCAAACAAGTGATATTAATCAGCTTTCAGATAGAAAACAAGATTAAAGCAACGTCAAAAAGACAGGGCACATGAGAAGGAAAGGGGCAATGACCAGAAAGGCCAGAAGGCACAGGCTGGTCAAGCCCAAAATCTACAAAAAGCTGTTTCTCTCCCCAGTTCACTGAGAAAACCCTACAGAGCAGCAGCGCTCCCTGCCTTTGGATGTGGAGCATCTTACACTGCTCTGACACTGCTCTGACAGACACAGGATAGCAGTACTTGTGAGGGAAAAGGTGGATTAGGGAGGCAAACAGGCCATCAGCTAACAGGCACTTACAGAAAGCAAAGCAGGGAAGAGCTGCACCTGGAAACCCCCCTCTGAAAAGAAACCAAAGAAAATCTGTCCTGCAAGAAGCCAGAGCACGTGGGCATCATTGCTCTTCACTTTCCCTGTGACTGGAAAAGTATTGTGGAGCCAACAAAGGACCACCGTGATATTTTCACAAAAATGACACAGATCACTGAGGAGCTCAGGCAAACCCTCTGCTCTGATCAAAGAGGCAAGAAAATGCCTCTGAGCACAGGAGGAACAGAGCAGCTCATCGAGGGCTGTCCGAGGTCAGTCCCAGAGGGACGCAGGAACGCTCTGATCCTTCAGTTCACAGCTCAAATCTCTGTGAAGAAACTATTAAGAGAAATCCAGTCTGATGACATCATCATCACACTCATGTTACATTCCAACAGTTTTTGCGAGAGATTTGAGATTCAAGAATGGAACTAAATTTAAACTACTAGGAAGGATGCCAGTTTTCCTCATCTTCCACCAAAGACTCACATCCAGCAAGGCTCCCTTATGTTCTCCCTCTATTCCCCTCTCCTGCCTCCAGCACTCTTCAGTCAGTTAAAAGTTGTGTGAAAAACATTCCAATTTGGGTCAGAAACACAAACCACGGGCCAACTTTTTTTGTGAAACACCTCTGAAGAACACACACCACACCTGCATCCCCATCAGGACGCTGGGAAGTTAAGGCCAACACAAAGCAACTTCAGGACCCTGCAGCCTCATCACAGCACGATGCTGCTCCCAGCTCAGTGTCACTCACCCTTTGGACACAAAATGTATCATCTGATCAGAACCAAAAGAGTTGGGTTCAATTTAGTTCACCAAATTGCTCATGGCTGATGTACCAAGAAAGCTCCATACCATTAACCACATTAAATTCAACCCAGCAGTCAGCATATTCCATGGACACAGTGGACCTGTGGTTGGGGCATCAGCCTATCTGGCAGGCGCAGAGGACACTTATTTTTAACCCACACTCTGCTCAGCCAACACCAGTCACCTGCCACTTCAGGCTTTCAAAACTTGTTACAGCCTCCCTCGTGCCTGGACAAGATTCAGGCTGGTACCTCTCCAGAGGAGCCAACGTCAAGCTCCACGCTGGCATCCCCACTGGCACACTGGGCACACACACACTCCCAGCCCCTCTGAAGGCGGGTGAGCTGGTCAGAGCACGGCAGGTTCCTACCATGGTACTGCTGCAGGCGCCGGCACTGTTTCTATGGGCTACAGACGAGCCCTGGAGGTCCTAAAAGCCACCAGACCCTCCAGTGCTGCACGAGAGCACCTGCTCACACCCTGAGCTTTGGCAACAAGCTGCCTTGAGCTCGAGCACACACCAGCCACACAGCAAAGCCGGATCCTCAACCCACTCGTCCACCAGCCCCTCCCCACTTTCTCAGTCTTTGCTACTATGGAGACACCCTGTGAAACAAACCTGCCCTTTGAGCAAATAAAAGGTGTGGCCAGTTTAAATAGCCCAAAATTCCTAAACTCCAAGTGCTACAGCAATGCAGTCATGCTGGCTCTGTAGGGCAGTACACACCCAGGCTTTATGATCTACTGTTCCCAAGCTGAAACTTAACTACCCGTCAACCTTGAGCTTTTAAATCATTGCCATGGAGCAGAGGGGGCCTTGGCAAAGCTCAGCACAAATCCTATGAGAGAGAAATACTGCTGGATGAGTCACTCCAGGAATACAGAACCTGTGGAAGGACATTTCTGCCCCACCTGTCAGAGGGCTGATGGATGGGACGGCTCAAACACCGGCCCAAGCAAGCACAGCTTAAAGGAGCTGTAGCAGAGCCATGGGGAATCTGAAATTAAATAATGCTTCCCCTTCTTGCTGGTATGAGAACAACAAACGTGGCACCAGCACACCTGCATTTTCCAGTCTGACAGTACCTGAAGGAGACATCAGAGTCAGAGATCAGAACCCATCCCTACACTTGTGGGATTAAAAAGGCGCAGTTGAGTAACTGTCACGTGTTATTTTCCTATTTTTTTAAATCGTCCCAGGTTGAGGGCAAAGTAGGCCTGAGCTTAAAATCCAGTATTTTCTACAACCATTTTGTGAGCAGATACATAAATTCAAGACCCAGGTGCAGAAGGCAGCGTGTGGCACTCTCAGGTGAGCTGGAGCTGTTTGGCACACCCAGCTGACCCGCTGCCACCCATGTCCCCTGCCACCAACATGTGGCTCCCATGTGTGCTCACGCCTGTTGGGAGGCCACAAGAGCCAGCTTGTTGCAGCCTCTAACTAAAGCCATAGGAGGGGACTGGAATTTCCTCACAACATTCTTGGCCCGCTGCCTGAAGCCATAATTACGGTTCCCATGGCAAAGATCCTGGCTTCACCACAAATCACTTCTATGCAGTCAGTCTCTATCACACTCCAGCAAAGCCTGTTTTAAAAATTAACTTCTCAAACACCACAGAACTGCACTTTTGGTTTATGGAAGCAAAATCTTTCAAGCAGAGCTTAACTTAAGCAAGAAACTACAGGATTATTCAGCACCTAAACTATTCTGAGACTTTTTCAATCACCAAAATGCAATTTCACTTAAAGAAGGACATGTCACAGTTCATCCTCTCTCTAGTCAGTCAGTCCTGCTCAGAGACTGTTAAGAGTGTGAAGGAACAGTGATATCCAAGGAAATTAAACAGAGGGCAAGGAGATACAAGAGAGAGGGACCTCGATCAGACTACCTGGAAGAGGAAACTGCAGGGTCAAAGCAGCACCTCAGGCCTCCATCTTAGGGCCATACTTCCTCTTCAGACAGCAGTGAAATTATGGGAAGAAGTGAGTCTTATATCATGTGTTCCTAATCTGCAGGACATTCCAGAAGGCTGTGCATCAGGAATCCCCACACCAGAATAGCAATGAGCTTCCTAAACAAATTCACACACTTTAAACTGAGGAGCCAGGAACGGCTACTACAATTACACCTGATTAAAAATAAGACCATCGGGCAGTACAGTGCTCAGAGGAGTGAGCCATGAGGACATCTGGGGACTTCTTAAGAAACTAAATTAAACTAAGATCTCAGAAAAATTAATAAGTGGGTGTGAATACTCTTAATATGTAAATTAAGGATGTGAAAAATAATAAAATAAAAGGCCAGCAGCCTGCCTTTTAAAACAATAAAGCAGAGTAAACTGCTCTATAGTGTCAAGGGATGCCTTGGTCCACCTTTCATAATGGCTATGAACTATTAACTAACCTTTGTTGTCCAGGCTCAAGCCTCTCCTCCTTGCATCCGATGGCAAACTGCACTCCTTGCAGCAGGCAGCATTCTCAGCCAGAACCAGACACTATCACTAATTCAAATTTCAGATTCACATAGGAGGAAAAGCTGGAGCAACCTTTCCCCCTACAGCCCTTAGAGCCCCTTCATGCATTTAATGCTTCTCAGACCCCCAAAGCTGCCTGTGCTGAGCTGCAGCCACAGCTCGCTCTGTACTTCCACCTGGCCAGCAGCGAGTTCTGTGCGATGCTCACACCCGGCTCGTGGCACTGCCAGGCTCCACCAGCCCCATCCCTCGGCCTCTCTCCCCCAGGCACCCCTTCCCCAGCCCCGCCAAGGCCACTGGCAGCTCTCGGTCACCGCCGGCGCTTGGCCGGTGACGCTTCACCGAGGGCCAACACTCCCACGGGGCTGAGCTCCCTGCAGTCCTGACCCCAGAGCTACACCGAGTCAAAGTAGCCCTTCAGCCCGGGCTGTCCTGCACATTCCAGTCCTGCATTTCACAGCACCCGCAGCAGATAAGGAGCCTCCTTTTCAGCACTTTGAGTTTAGGGCTAAGGCTGCGCTTTCCAAACCTCAGACTAGAAAGGCAAAGGTCATATTTGCTGTACTAGCAGGAAATAAAAATCAACAGCTAAACGCTCCCTTTTGTGGCAGAAGGATTTCTGACATATAACTGAACAGGAATTCACACAAACGAAGGAAACGGAGTTCTCCAGAGGAAAAGGATCAGCTTCTCCATGGAGAAGCATTGTCTAGCACACGAGTAACAAGCATGGCTCGACATTTTAGACTGTTCCTAAATGCAATAAAGTTGATAATCAATGTCCAAATGCCAAGAGCTAAATGTTGAGCCATATTATAAGTTTTAAATGCACATGAAACTAAATTACCTTCTGGTTAAAACCAATTTACATGGTACCAGAAATAACCCTTTACAGCTGAAGATCTACATTTGTTAAGGCTAAAACTAGGTCAGATGCTGAGCAGTGTAAAAAGAGAGAAAAAGTGAGAAGTGCCTACCTTTGTACCAACTGTTATATCTTGGACAATGCTGTAGAAAAAAGAAAGAAAAGGATTAAAAAAGTTAGATAGGTTTGCCACAAAAATCCAGCATAGTTTACAGTAGTAAGAAAAAAGCAAGTCAAAGTGCACAGTTGTCTTTGCAGGTGAGCCAAGGACAGTTTATACAAAGAAAAATTATTAGATGGTGATGGTGGAGACCCAAGACCCAGCAGTGCCAGAAAACTGTAGCTCTCCCACTCCCTACGGCAGCGCCTGCTCCTCCTGCAAGGGCCTGGGGGGTAGGAACGAACAACCCCGTCTGACCACACCGAGAGGAAGAGAGTCAGCTCTGCCACCAACATCCCCTCCTGCGGGTCCTGTCCCCCTGACACCCCCGGAGCCTCTGCCAGGCCCAGGGCAGCTCCAGCAGGGCTGCAGACACCAACGCCAGAGCTCCAGCGGTCCCGGGACAGAGCCTGGCTGTGTCCCCGTGGGGCAGGAGCTGGGGCAGGCTCAGAGCAGCCCTCCAGGCTCAGAGCAGCCCTCCAGGCTCAGAGCAGCCCTCCAGGCTCAGAGCAGCCCTCCAGGCTCAGAGCAGCCCTCCAGGCTCAGAGCAGCCCTCCAGGCCACGCTGGCACCGCTGGAGCCACAGCAGGGGATGCACAGGCAGTCCCAGCCTGGGGTACGCCCTACGCAGGATTCCTCTATCAAGTCTAGCAAAAATCACTCATTAAACTCTACCTAAGACACTTAAACCTTCTAAAATGAGACTTTCTGATTAACTAAGATGAAAATTAGCACCAGTTGTACCTCAAGCAACCCAGCTCCTGTCAGCAGTGAATTCTCCACACCACAACACACACCACCTAAGAGCAACATCTTCCACCAGTGCAGCTGGAATGCTTGCCTACAATCTCCCAGAGCCTTACAGCACCTCCACGTTACTGTTTCGTGGAAGTGCTCAGGACAGCCTAAGGATTTCAGTTATACCCTCGCACTGGAGATTGCATCTTTTTTTAATAAACTCCAACCCCCTGCAAAGCATCAACACAAAACCGAGAGCAGAAACGACCCCTCTGGACTGCCATGTCCACAGCCCTGCCCGCTTCCCCCCTCTCACAGAGCTGCCTGTAACTGCAGAGCACAGGGCCCGGCAGTGGCCGGCTGACCGACCTGCAGCAGCTCCACAGAGCAGGGGGACACAAGGCAGGCAGGGCAGTCGTTCTTGAACCAGCACTGTGAAACCTGGAGTACTCAAGAACAACTTGACATGGTGAGTTAATGTGAGAGAACTTGAATTTGCTAGTTCTTACCTCCCTCTCCTCTTGCAACGGTTCATAACTTTTCAGGGAATTAAATCCTGCTCGATCTCATTAGGCCGTCCCAGCGTCCCCAGCTCCACGAAGGAGCCCCAGCAGGAGCCAGCTCAGCTCCTCACACTTCCTCTTCCCCCCAACCTGCCGTGTCATCATAACCCAGCGCTCTGCAGCTGGAGCCACAGCCCAACCCAACGGCTGCTGTGGGAAGCCACGCGATAGTTCCGCATTTTCCAGGGAAGTGCTCGGAGGAGGCTCCCAGAGCCGGGCACCCGCAGGGCAGCCGGGCTGGCTGCACCCGAGGGGCAGCAGCAATGAACTAATGAAACCCATCTGCAGGGAGCAGTTCAAGGAACCAGCATCACTGAACACGGCACACGTTCCTCAGCTAACACACAAACGTTAACCCAGGCACCTCCACAACCTCAGAACAGCTACTGCCAACCAAGCACAGCCAGAACACAGGATGTCCCAGGTTTCCCAAACTCTCCAACTTACCCCAGCAGTTTCTCCCACTTCCTGTTCCTCCTGTGGGCCTCTCGCACAGGAAATGTTTTACATAAAGTGCCTTAGCAGGGAATGGCATTTAGAACCATCCAACAGGAAGAGCTGTTTTATTTGCCAAGAGCTATCGATTCCTGGGATATTATTGCAGCCCACTTGATAACAAATACCACAGGAAACAAGCTCCACAGTATTTCAGAATTTTTATTCAAATGTGAGACGTACTTCCAGTTCACACACCCCCTCAGTAAATTATCCCAAGCTTCATTCTCTTCTCATGCACATCAGCCTTCAGGACGGGATTAAAACTTTTCCCAGTTCCGAAAGAACAGGCAAAAAAGCCCTTCATAAAAATTATTTTTTTCCCATGGAATAATGGATAATTCCTACGCAATAAGGGGAAAAATTAAGCAGTACCAGTAAAACCTCCAGGTCATTTTCCAAAGCAGCATTTCGGACTCCTCGCATGTTTTAACAAAGCAACTTATTCAAAGGGGATCACTCGGGCACGGCTCGAGACCATTTTCGGGAGAAGGAGACGGGAGCAGCCTGGAGCCAGGGGGGTGCTCACTGCCAGCTCGGTAAAACTTGAAACCATTCTCTGAAGCAGCTTTTGAAGTTTCAGCAGGGGACACTTTTACAGGGCAAACATATCCCGCACCAGGATCTCCAAAAGACGAGGGGTAACTGAGACTCGCGTGTTTCGCTAAAACTTCTACATTCAAATAGCAGCTACTTTAACATGCACAGAACACCAGCCTGTCCAGGAACCACAGCTGACATCAAACCGATTTTTGCCACTAGAATGTGTGATCTCATGTGCTGAGAACTTGTTGGTTTTTTGTTTGTTTGTTTGTTTTTAATGTCATTCAACATGGTGAGCAACTGATTAAAAGCAGTAGAGCGATCCTGGACTACAAAAATTGTAAGATACACGATTTTTATGGGGTTTAAGATGAAAACAACACTGAGACGCCACTTTTTCAGTGTGTAAAAAAACCCAGACATGTGACTATGCCTAATTCTCCCCAGACCAGTGTTCCGAGGCAGAAAGCGAGAAGGCACTAATTTGGGCTTCCCGTACTTATGGCTGTGGGAAAACAAACTGCTCACTCGGAGGCCTTCAGAAATATTTTAACTACTGAGCGCTAGAAGAAACAAAAAATCAGATCACAAAAAAACTACGCCATACAGGATGAGAGAAGCGCGGAGATCTCGCTTTCGAGAGATCCCCTGATAAAACACCCGCTTTAGAGCCAACTCTGCCGCAGCGAGGCCCCGCCGGGCGCTGCTTAAAGAGGAATCGACGCGACAAAAGTTGCGCTCCGGAAACTCCCCGCGAAGGGGCCGCGGAGCGGAGCGTCCTCCCGCAGCTCGGCGGGCCGGCGGGAGCGGGGCCGTACCTGCGGCGCTCAGGTGAGGCGGCGGCGGAGCCCAGCCCGCCCGCCCCTGCGAAACCCGGCGACCGAAACCCGGCCACGAAAGGAGCCCGGCGAGAGCCCCCCCGCCCCCGCCCGCGGAAGCGCCAGACAATGGGAGGGAGCGCGGCCGTGAATCACCGCCCGCCAGGTGCGCCCGCCCCGCCCGCGTCGCCCCCGCGGGGCCGCGCCCGGGCCGCCCGCCCGCCCCCGCGGCGCTCCCGGCCCGCCGCCCCCCGCCCGGCTCCGGCGGGACCCCCCGACCCCCCTCCGGCCGGGGCGCTCGGAACCTCTCCCGGCCGGGACCCCCGGAGCGCCCCCCGGGCGGGACCCCCGGAGCGGCGGAAGCGCACGCGGGACCGGCCCGCACGAGGTGTCGCGTCGGGGCCGCCCCCGCTCCCGCCGCCGCCCGCGGGGAAGGGTCTGGGGGGTGCCGCCCGCACACGAGACCCCCCCCCGCCCGCGCCCGCGGGCCCCCCACAGGTACCGCCCCAGCCCCCGGCGCGGGTCCCCGACGCGGCCGCCTCCGCAGCCCGGGAGGGGCCCGGCGGCAGCGCTCGCGGCCCCGGCGCGGCGCCGGGCGGGACTCACCCGTCCATTGCACGCGGAGAGGACCCGTCGGGAGCGGAGGGGAGGCGCCGCAATAGCGGGACGAGCGCGACCGCTCCGTGTTATAGACTCACAAAATGGCGGCGCCGCCTGGCCCGCCTCGCCCGCGCCGGCGTCCCATTGGTCAGCGGAGCTGTCACCCTGACGGGGGGGCGGGACCGCCCGCCTCCCGGGGTTGGCGCCCTGGAGCTCCGCGCGAGGCCGATTGGCTGCTGACGGCATGGGGGCGGGGCGACGCGCCAGTGCGCGGCGCCATTCGGTAGGCGGAGGGAGGCGGCTGGGAGGAGCCATCTTCAGAGCGGGAAGGAGGCCGGATTGACACCCGGAGCCGCCATCTTGAGTGGGGTCAGGGCATGGGAATCACCGCCTTGGGCGCCATCTTGAATACGGGCAGTGGCCCCGGCGTGCACATTGTGCCGTGAGGGGCTGCGGGGGCGGCTCGGCCCCGCCGCCATGTTGGGTGCGGGCAGGGAAGCCGCGCGCCGCCGCCATCTCGGATGAGGGTCGCTCGTCCGCGCCGCCCCTCGGGAGCCGCGCGGGGCCGGAGGGTTTAATTACAGTCCCCGTCTGTAATCGCAGTTAATGTCTTAAGGATAAAGATTACCCTGTGAGTGAGGGAGAGAGAGATCCCGTGAGGTAAGACATCTCACGTACCTGCTGCTCAGGCATGAGGCAGATCTGTGCCTCCGGTCCCGTTCTGATCGTTTGCTGCCCGAAACAGCTCCATGGCCCCTCAGGGGCACCTCAGTGCGCAATTACATCGGCTTGTCCCACCTTAATGTTTATCGTTGCCTGTAGGCCTCACTTCTGCAGGGATTCAGGTAGATTCCGCGGGTTTGGGGCTTGTCAAACCTCTGGAAGATTTGCTTTGCAGGTGCTGGGCCACCTATGGTGAATTTAAACCGACGGTGGCGGTTTTGTGTAAGATCCTTTCTGTGGCTCCCTCAGGGTGAGCGGGGCAGGTGTGAGGGTCTGTCCCCATCCCAGGCCCCTGGATGCTGCTGGATCCTCCCCACCACCGCTCCAGGGAGCAGTTCTGCCGTAGATGAAACACTTTAAATACAGACCCATGTGAACGCTCAGAAAATTACTTTAGAGTGCAAAGGAAATTTGGGCAGTGTTTCTGCTGCGTGTCAGGTAACTCGGGCAGGTACAGACATGCATTTTGTATTCTCTTGTCTCTCTCAAGCGTACACTTGACACATGAGTAGGGAAAAGAAAAAGTTAGAACTGAAATGGTCTGTCTTCTCCCAAACCCCTGTTGCTGTGCCGAGTCCTCTGGCCAGAGCTCTTGTTTCTCAGTGGGGCAATTCTCAGAGGTTTCGGAGGCCAGGATCAGACATCACCTGCCTCCCTCACCCTTGTCCCCATCTGTGAAATGCAGGAGCTTGCCTTGGCCTTGGATCTTACCGGGAGCTGGGAACTCTGATTCCCAAATCTTTGGCTTACTGGGCTCCCAGTTAAAATCCAGGAAAAGTATGTTCTGATCTATTGCTAAAGGCAAATAAAACTGTCTGAAACCAGGTTGTTTACTGGGTCGTGCATTTGAAAGGCTCAGCTGCTGCCTCAGATAAGAGATTTACAACTTCGATGAGACAAAGAATAGGAAAATGATGGGATTATGGATCCAGTGTAGCTGAGAGCCAGAGAGATAAAGTGATGTGATCAAAGAGAGCAGGAATTTAACAGCCAACACAAGCTTCCTGCACTCCCTTGATCTGTGCCTGGTTTAAGGTGTGTTTCCCATGGAGGTGTTTCACTTCATCTTCCCTTCAGAATGATTTTATTTCTATACTGTAAGTAAGGAATCCCTCCGTGGTAGAGGATGCTGTGGAGACAGAATCCCTCCTTTTTTTTTTTTTTTTAAATGTGGGCTATTTCAATACCCCTAAAGAAGAGCCCCCTGAACATGCCACAAAGACTGAAAATATTCATTAATGCTCAGCCAGGATCTGATTTTCTAGTGGCTGCTGACATGAGTTTATGGCACATGCAGGTATCCCAGGTGCTTTCCAGGTATCTATGGTGGAACAGTGAGAGGTGGATGCCAGTACAGGATTCCTGATTTCCAAAGGCCTGTCCTCTGCAGGTGTGGTCTGACTTAAAAGACTTGTTAAGGTTTGTGCAACTCGCTCTGATTTTCCACAGTTCTGGCAGAAATTATGATTGTGCAACATTTTATCAGTTGTTTTCCTGCAACATGAAGAGAATTTTTCAGGCAGCATCTGCTCAGGGAGCAAAGTGACCAGAGATACTGTTGGGGCTTTCTCTGGGCCAAACAGGAAAATACATTTAAGAACAAGATCATACTTGATATAAAAACCCAGCGGGGAGCAGGACCTGCCCCTGTGTGTCCTTGTGTTTGTTTTGAAAAACAAACCCAGATGAAAATGGCCATGTGGAAAAAAAAAAAGAGGAGGGCAAAGGGAAAAAAAAGAACCAGTTTGTTTTGTAGGATCCTGCAGCAGCATCCCCCCCTCCAGCTCCGGTTCCTCCGCCCGGGAAAGGCCTCTGGGGCACACCCAGCTTTTCTCTTTTTGAGCCCTTCCTGCCTGTGTTATCTCTTGGCGTTTAATTCACCACTAGAGAAGAAAAACCTTCTGAAACAAAATGGAGCTTTTCCTGCCTTTTCCCTTTGTATTGTTAAAACAACCCTGCGGCCTGTGCAGGGTCACGGACACTTCTCTGCGTAACTGTGTCCTTTGCAAACTGGCAGAACTCTTCTCCTTCCTCTTCCACCCCATGTTTCTGTCAGCAGTTTGAAAACCAGA